CCAATACCACATTGAAGCGAGTAAAATGAATTTTTTGGTTTTCCAGTGCACATAAAAGTTGTATTTACACTACACATAATCTGTTAAGCGTGCAGTAACATTATGTCTAAACAAATTTATGTATCTCACTTAAAAATACTTTATTGCTAAAAAATGCTAACCATCATCTGAGCTTTCAGCGAGTCTTCTTTTTGCTGGTGGAGGGTCTTGCCTCGCTCTTGATGGCTGCTGACTGATGAGGGTGGTGGTCGCTGAAGGTTGGGGAGGCTGTGGTAGTTTCTTAAAATAAGACAACACGACATTTGCCACATCAGTTGACTCTCCCTTTCACGAACGATTTCTCTGTAGCAGGCAATGGCGTTTGATAGCATTTTACCCACTGCAGAACTTCTTTCAAACTTGGAGTCCGTCCTCTCAAGCCCTGCTGCTGCTTTATCGACTAAGTGTGTGGAACGATCTGAGTGCTTTGTCGTCGTGTCAACAGTCTTCACAGCATCCTCACCAGGAGTAGATTCCATCTCCAGACACCACCTTCTCTGCTCATCCACGAGAAGCAACTCCTCTTCGCTTCAAGTTTTATCACGAGTTTCTAGCAATTCAGTCCCATCTTCAGGCTCCACGTCTAATTCTAGTTCTCTTGCTGTTCCCACCCCATCTGCAGCTACTTCCTCCACTGAAGTCTTGCACCCCTCCAAGTCCTCCACGAAGGTTGGGATCAACCTCTTCCATGCTCTGTTAACATTGCTATTTTGACCTCTCCCGTGAATCAGGAATGTTCTTAGTGTTATCTAGAATGGTGAACCCCTTGCAGAAGGTTTCCAATTTACTTTGCCCAGACCCATCAGAGGACGCACTATCTATGGCAGCTCTAGCCTTTCAAATGTATTTCTTAAATAATGAGACCTGAAAGTTGAAATGACTCGTTGGTCCCCGGGCTGCAGAATGGTTGTTGTGTTAGCAGGCATGAAAACAACATTAATCTTGTACATCTCCACTCCATCAGAGCTCTCGGGTGACCAGGTGCACTGCCAATGAGCAGTGATATTCTGAAAGGCATCTCTTTTTTTCTGAGCAGCAGGTCTCAACAGCTGGCTTGAAATATTCAGGCAGTCTTGTTGTAAACAGATGTGCTGTCACCCAGGCTTTGTTATCCCATTTACAGAGCACGGGCGGAGTAGATTTAGCATCATGCTTCAGGGCTCTAGGGTTTTCAGAATGGTAAGTGGCTTCCACTCAGAGACACCCGCTGCATTAGCCCCTCACAAGAGAGTCAGCCTGTCCTTTGCAGCTTGGAAGCCAGGCACTGACTTCTCCTCTCTAGCTACCAAAGTCCTACATGGCATCGTCCTCCGAAAGTAGGCTCTTACATCGACACTGAAAATCCGTTGTTGGGCGTGGCCACCTTCATGGATGGTCTTAGCTGGGTCTTCTGGAGAACTTGGTGCAGCTTCTACATGAGCACCCGCTGCTTCACCTTGCCCTTCTGTGTTATGGAGATGGCTTCTTTCCTTAAACCTCGTGAACCAACCTCAGCTAGCTTCAGACATTTCTTCTGCAGCCTCCTCACCTCTCTCAGCCTTCACAGAATGGAAGGGAGTTAGGGCCTTGCTCTGGGCTCGGCTTTGGCTTCAGGGAGTGTTGTGCCAGGTTTGAGCTTCCATCCAGACCACGCACAGTTTCTCCAGGTCAGCAGGAAGGCTGTTTTCTTTCCTTATCATTCGTGTGTTCCCCGGAGTAGCACTTGTCATTTCCTTCAGGATCTCTTCCTTTGCATCTGCCACTTGGCTACCGGTTGGTGCAAGAGGCCTAGCTTTTGGCCCCTTTTGGCTTTTGACGTGCCTTCTTCACTAGGCTTAATCATTTCTAGCTTTGGATTTAAAGTGACGAGATGTGCAACTCTTCCTTTTACTTGTGCGCTTAGAGGCCTGATGTCAATATTGCTGTGTCTCAGGGAATGGGGAGGTCTGAGGAGAGGTCGAGAGACGGGGGAGTGGCCGCCAGGAGAGCAGTGGAGAAGTCAGAACACACTCAACGTTTATTGATTAAGTTCGCCGTCTCCTGCGGGCATGTTTCGTGGCACCCCCAAAATAACTACTGTAGTAACATCAGAGATCACAGGTCACGGATTGCCAAAAGAAATATAATAATAATGGAGAAGTTTGAAATACTGCAAGAATTACCAAAATGCAACACATGAGACACAAAGTGAGCAAATGCTGTTGGCAAACTAGCAATGGTAGACTTGCTTGTTGCAGGTTGCCACAAATCTCCAATTTGGAAAAAACACAGTATCTGCAGAGTACAATAAAGCAAAGTGCAGCCAAACAGGGTATGCCTGTATGAAGTCCTAATTTGGAGACAAGATAACCCATTTTGACAAGTTTACCATTTTGATGCCATCATTTACTGAGAAGTTGGCAAGTTCCTTCACTTCCCTGAGTCTGTTCCCTCATTAGTAAATTGAGCGTGATAGGCACTACTTTGGTTATGACAATTGAGATAATGCATTTAAAGCATCTAGCACAATTCTTGGCACATAATAAGTACACAGTACATACCACTAATGTTATTTTATTTTATTTTAAGATTTTATTTATTTGAGAGAATGAGATAGAGCATGAGAGGGGGGAGGGTCCGAGGGAGAAGCAGACTCACTGCTGAGCAGGGAGCCCCATGCGGGACTCGATCCCGGGACTCCAGGATCATGACCTGAGCCGAAGGCAGTCGCTTAACCAACTGAGCCACCCAGGCGCCCCTCACTAATGTTATTTTAGGCAAGGATGACTAACATTGTGTTTCTAAGTGATTAAGAAAACTAAAACAAGCTGGTGGTGTCTGAAATTAAATTTAGAATAAGGAAAAAGAGGTGGTTTGGTTTTATTTTGTTGTGTGTTTTGTAACTGTTGAAAAATTTGAACTTTAGGCTGAGATTCTTACGTTGCCATCTAGTTCAGGGGAGCAACATTTATTGAATCTGTGGGACCAAAGCGAAGATGGACAGTTGCTTATATAGCACTTGAAGATAAAAACAATTATTGAGAGGCACCTGGGTGGCTCAGTCAGTTGAGTGTCTGACTCTTGGTTTCAGCTCAGGTCATGATCTCAGGGTCATTAGATTGAGCCCTGTGTGGGCTCCATGCTCGGCAGGGAGTTTGCCTGGGGATTCTCTCCCTCTGTCACTCCCCCAACTTTTGCTCACTCTTTCTAAAATAAATAAATACATCTTTTTTTTTTTAAGTTTAAGAAAAAGAACAACTGTTGGACACGTATCTCTTAATGTGAGAGCCTCACTGAACAGCTAGCCTACCATATCAACATTATTAACCGTCCCACCTCCTAACCATTTCAGCACACAGTGATCTCTCCCAAGAACTCATAAAGCTTACTGAACCCTTTTTGGCCTCAAAAAAGCACTGAGGCAGTTAATTAACCTATCCTATGGCTCTTCTCTCCTGGGCAGTGTTCAGGGCCAGTGCACACTGGGAGCTGGGCTGGGACTCCTTGAGAAAGACTAGAGTTCAAATCTTATCAAGGAAGCATTCTTTCAAAATACTCTCCTGTATATTCAAGAGAAGGTGCTGATACACTAAATGTATTTGGTGTTTTGCTGTGTTGGAGCATTAGAGAATAAATGGATTAGGGTGGGAAATAAGTGCCTCAGCCAGTGTCCCCCAGAGAATTAGAAGTTGCAAAAGATGTCCTTGAGGATTGAATGGCAAAAATATTAACAGACTTTGGGGCGCCTGGCTCGCTCAGTTAGTGGAGTGTGCGACTCTTGATGCCGGGGCTGTGAGTTCAAGCCCCATGCTGGGTATAAAGATTACTTAAAAGTAAAATCTTAAAAAAAAAAAAAAAAAAAAAAAAAATTCTTAACAGGGCGCCTGCGTGGCTCAGTCGGTTAAGCATCTGCCTTCAGCTCAGGTCATGATCCCAGGCTCCTGGGATCAGGTCCCATGTAGGGTTCCATGCTCAGTGGAGAGTCTGCTTCTCCCTCTCTCTCTCAAATAAAAATCTTGTAAGGAGCGCCTGGGTGGCTCAGTCGTTAAGCGTCTGCCTTCGGCTCAGGTCATGATCCCAGGGTCCTGGGATCGAGCCCTGCATCGGGCTCCCTGCTCACGGGAAGCCTGCTTCTCCCTCTCCCACTCCCCCTGCTTGTTGTGTTCCCTCTCTCTCTGTGTTTTTCTCTGACAAATAAATAAATAAAATCTTTTAAAAAAAAGTCTTTTAAAGGGGCACCTGGGTGGCTCAGTCGTTAAGCGTCTGCCTTCGGCTCAGGTCATGATCCCAGGGTCCTGGGATCGAGCCCCGCATCGGGCTCCCTGCTCGGCAGGAAACCTGCTTCTCCCTCTCCCACTCCCCCTGCTTATGTTCCCTCTCTCACTGTATCTCTCTCTGTCAAATAAATAAATAAAAATAAGATAAAAAATCTTTTAAAAATAAAAATTAAAAAAATAAATCTTAACAGACATGACAGGGAACTTCAAATAGTGCCCATGTTGAATGGAAATGAGAAATGGAGACAGGGATGATTTACCATGGCCCTGCTGAGGAAATAAAGGAATGAGAGAATATAAATAAGTAAATTTCTAAGAGAGAAATAAAGGAGTTTCTAAGGTAGTAGGTTTATCTCTTACTCTTTTATGTAAAACACTGAGACTTTCTCTCAATTTAGTAGATGTTTGCTGAGCTTCTGCTGTGTACAGAGTAATAATGATGATATTGAACATTTGGGAGCTTACTATTTCTAGGCCTGTTTCCTCTGACTAGCAAAGCGGTCTTTACCAAGACAGACTCATCCGTGGTGGAAGTAGAGATGGGGGTTGGTCTTGTTTGAGCACGAGGGAACACATGGACCAGGGGTGGGAAGCCAGCATTTCATCCTATAGTCCTTACAGAGTAGGAAGTTGCAGAGAAGCTTGGGAAACGAAAGGCAGAAAAATCTTAACAGACGCCCTTTGCACAGCCTCTGAATCCACCCTGAAGGTCTCCTATGTTTTCAGGCATCAGAAGTTGAGAGACAACTCTCCATGCAAGTCCATGCCCTCAGAGAAGACTTTCGGGAGAAAAACTCGTCAACCAACCAGCACATCATCAGGCTTGAAAGCCTTCAGGCTGAGGTGAGCCTCCCCATGTGGTGGTGCTTGGAGATGGAAGTGCTTTTCTCAATGAGGCACTCCACTAGATCTTTTGGATAAGGAGTCCTCTGAATTGGGAAACAAAACCCTGCTCTATCTAAAAATCTCTAAAGAGAGATGTATCTGTGAGAAACTAAATGGGGAGCACTTGATTCAAGTTCCACTGGGTAGCCTCTTGTCTGGAAGAATAAGGTTGCTCAGAGTTACTGCTGAGTGTGTTGAAATCATGAATGACCTACTTTTACTGAATATGTTGATTGGTCCAAAAACATTCTTGCCAATCCTAAATAGAAGATGGGAAAGAGAATTTTCCCTTGCTCCATTCTATTTAGGTCCAGTTCAGTCCACCTTAACCTTAATGGGACCTATTATATTCTCACATACAAAATGAGAGTAATAGAAGTAGCTGCTTCATAGGGTTGTTGTGTTTGATGAGTTAATACATGGAAAGCACTCTGTGCAGAGTGTATGAGCCAGATCACGGCAGGCAGGGTCTATGGCCCTCAGTGGGCCAGAGGGAAAGAAAAAGTAGCACTTAGGGGACAACTCTGTGAGAACCCAGTTGTGGGAGGTGAGAAAAGGGGAGTCCTATCACCAGCCCAAATGGGGTCTCCCCCTTCCCCAGAGGATTCCGCCTAATCTGATCCTGAGGGCTCCTAAGCCGGTTGTCTGGACAGCAACCCTTTGGCTAAGTTACACCTGAAGGGCTAGACTAGGGCCAGCCTAATCACATCCCCACTGTGGTTAAGGAATCAGTAGGTGTGGTCAGGCCCAGAGAAGCCCAGATGGCTGCTCCCTTGCTTTGGAAATGACCTGAAGATGTTTTTCCTAAAGTCTGTCAATATCTTCTCTTTTCTCCTGCCTGTCATTCCCTTCCTTTCTCCCTTCCCTTGGAAATACTACTGGTATTGAGCAGCAGGTTCTTGAAGTAAGTAGTTGGTTCTGGTGGGGTTTGGCATGCCTGTCTGTGACCACTTGTGTGCATGACTTGCCATTCAACTGCCTTTGCCAAGCTCTGACTCCTTCGAGTTGCCTGTTTTCCTCTCCCCTCTGCTTACTATTTTCAGACCCTCGTGACTCAGGGTCATTCCCAGGAATGTTAATTGGCAGATTTGGTCACAAGCTTCAGGGTATATAGGGTGGGGTGATGGAGTGTCGATGCCTTGCTTCATCCGGTAACACTGCTACTTTAAAAAGCCAATCTATGAAGTTGGTCAAGCACGTTACTTCATGTAGCTCTGAACTTCTAAGTTTTTTTTAAGGGACCAGGATTATCTATCAGAACTGTATTACCTCATTATTTCACTGAGTGGAACTTGAGAAACAAAGATTATTCATGGAAGGAGAATATAAAGGTCAGAGGGTATTAAATGAAAATCAGCTAGAGTAAGAATTCCTTCACGCGGGTAACGTGCTTCAATGTGGGGAATAGTGGCCCCATTCACAGAAGAGACTTATTCCTTTTTGTCCCTCACCCAGGTGCACACTTGAGACAGTATTTCTTTGTTTGGCCAGATACCTGATCTCTCTGGACAAAGGCCACATACTTCATTTCCCCAGGACAGCATCCTATCTGATTGATTGGTGGCCAGGGAAGATCTGTGCCCTCTGAACAGAATTCTAGCGTGGAAAGCGAGAACAGACAAAAAACAGAGGGAAAGGTGGATTTGAGAGAACCTCAGACACATTACACGTTCATTTCAGAATCTCCCCAGGAAAGGGTCAGAGGTTGGTCTCCTTAATGGATTGTTCTCCAAGCCAAACTGGAGAGCGTGGAGAACATCTTAACCATGTTGGGAGCAAGAAGCCGGGTGAGAGATGAGTCCAGCAGGGAACTGATAGACGGGAGGAGCCAGTGGGACCTTCATGCAGGACTTGGGAAGGCTTCCGTGGCCCCTTAGCAGGGCAGTGTTCTTGGGGTGAAGCATCGCTGGTCTTGTAGAGTGCCAGCCCAGCCCCTGAGTCTACAGACCTTGCAGCCAGAAGACTTGGCATCTCTTTCCTCTTTTCCTTTGTTTTCTCACTGACATTGAAGAGACTGACAGGCCTTCCTAAAAGATTTATATCTCTTGAGACTGGCTAGATATGCAGTGTACAAACACACCAGCCTGTTTAATAAAAGGAGTGAAATTGCTCCTATTCACAAATGACTTGCTCAGGCAAAAAGACGCTTTGAGTAAAATCAGTTACTCACTTGTGTCCGTGTCCTGTTGCTTCCAGGACATAGGCTGAGGCAGGCACTACTTTGTTTCTGTACTCTGCTGGCTCTCCCATTAACTTGGGACACCGGGTCTGAACTGCAACCTGTAGAGCCAGACCTGTTAGCAGTGGGGGAAAGTACAGAAGAGAGCCGTAAAAGTATGACAAGACTGTGGCTCAAGAGGCTGTCTCAGGCATTTTCCTGCGCCCGTGACTTGAGAAGGAAGGATGGAACCGCAGGTTGGGTTCCACTCCCCCATAAATTGTGGGGTTGAGGTGAAGTTATAGGCAGGCAAGGTGGAGCCCTTCTGTGTCTTATCTGTGGAATTTCCACAACACTGACCTTCCCTTTCTCTGCCTGGCATCCCACATTCCAGCTTCCCCAAAGCTCATCTCCCACCCCTTCCCAGACAAGTTTCTAGGAGGGAGGGGCTTTTTCTGCAGCTTGGGAGTTCACAGCTGTTCTCTCAGAGATGGGGGCACCAGGCCGCTGGGCAGAGCACTTGGGGAGACACCTGGCTTCATGTTTGGGGCTAGTCCCTCCCTCCCTACTCATCAGCCTGGGTGTAACCTCACACCACCCCTGTGACTCCACCCTTTCAGATCAAGATGCTGTCAGATCGGAAACGGGAGCTGGAGCATCGTCTCAGGACCACCTTAGAGGAGAACGACCTGCTCCAGGGGACTGTGGAGGAGCTCCAGGACCGGGTGCTGATCCTGGAGAGGCAAGGCCATGACAAAGACCTACAGGTACTGAGGCAGAGAAGCTGCCCTGCAGAGCCGGGCCAGAGGAAAGGAGCATGTAGCTGCCCAGCCAGAAGGAAAGCTGAGGGGCCAGCACCACTGTAGGGCTCAGGAGAGGGTAAACCTGAGGTCTCTCTTTTGGCCCTGTTGTCGTTCTCCTTGGGCACTCACAAACTTGGCCAGTCTGGCTCTGCTGAAAACAAATGCATCACTACCCACAGGTCATCCTTCCAATTTGTTCTGAGCCACTGGCCCCTGGAGCAATTTCAGAGAGTTCTTTCTGGGCTGTTAACATGACTGGAACATGAGGAGTGTCATTCTGCCTCCTAGGGTTTGTGAAATCTGCCAGAGGTTTCAGAGGGAGCCTGTGACTTTCTGTGCTTGCTCACAATTCTCTCTGCTGCTGCTTTCCCAGGCTGATGCATTTAGTCAGCTTGCACTGAGCAGAAATCAAGAAGCTGCCCGCTGAACACAGCAGGACTTACATCCTGCTTCTAACAGTTGCTAGAAAAGGCATAGGCTGACCCTTTGTGAACCTAATTGGCCTCTTTTTCCTTCCTAAAGGAAATCGCTTCATGGCCATATTTGTCCTTCTCTGGGACCTGCCACCAGTCCTCAGCTGAATCCCCAGGCTCACACTTGACAACCCCCTAAACAAAAAGATAATTGCCCCTAGACTCCCCAGAAACAAGAGTGTGACATGTGCTACAAAGGCGGCTTTGCCAAAGTGGCCTAGGAGCACCTGGGGCCAGTGGCTAAGAGTGCACCGCTTCCCTTGGGCACCCTCTGAGGGTGCCAGGCAGTGGGGGAGATTGCAACAGTGTCGTTTGTGTGGGGGTGGTCAGCCAAATGTGTGCGAGCATCAGGCAGGTTCCTCCCCAAAGACCAGGCCATGGCAGGCCGCACTGGGCTCAGCGGTCGGCTGTTGAGGAAGACTCTAGGATGTGGGATAAGGAAACATCTTAGGCTAACATCACTTGTTATTGACACCGTCAGCTAAGCTGCCACCTGAGTGATTAACCTCCTTAAGGGCAAATGAGCAGTTTTCCACCCTCCAAGTTTTTTGCACCTTCAGCTTGGAACATTGCAGGCAACATTCCATAAATGTTGAATAGAAAATGATGCTGGCTAAAGCCTCACAGCTGTTTACAAGATGGAAAGGAGTTGACTCATATTCTAAGGTTGACGGTGGTTAATAGTGGTGAATGTTTGTATACTTCTTTACAGGGTACAGAGTGCTTTTGCAAACATTCTAAAACTGAGGCTTAGAAAAAAGTGAATCATTTACCAAAGTAGTATAGTAAGTCCTTGGTAGAATTAAAATTAGAGCCTCCTGCCTTCTTCACGTGGTGCTCAGTGACAACATCTAGCGCATCCCTTGCCTCTGCAAGTCAGTGTCTCGCCAGCATTTCTTATCCCATTAAGGCACTCTCCTGAGGTTACTGAGGTAGAGGATGGAGGAGAAGGAAAAGAAATACAAAAAAATGCAGAAATGACCCCTGCCTAAAAGACCTTTTCAGTCTAGCTTGAATTCACAAATGATAAGTCCTTATTTCAAACCAAGAATTGGGGACCAAAGGACAGGGAAGAGCAGGACCAGTGTTCCCCTGGCTAATGCCGTGGGCTGTGCGCTCTCTGCAGCAAGAGCCCCAGGTCACACCATGTTCACAACCTTGCCATCTGCACATCCGCTCTCTTCCGACTGGGCTTCTCCAAGAACGAGAGGGTGTCACTCCCCGCATGGCCTATATCAAGTCAGGCAGTGCACACTTTGATTTGGAGAATCTGTGTTTATGGGCTGAATTCTTATCTTTCCCATCTTTCTGTGATTCTTTTCCTTCAGCTCATATGAAATTTTCCTTAAGCTGCTGCTAATTACCAGTATCCTCCAGAAAGCCCTTGCTATTGCTAAAATGGCCTGTACTGATACAGAAATAAAAATGCCAGCTTAGGTGGTAGTTGAGAGGTCTCAATCAGACTTGCAAAATGTAGAGCTTGTGTCCTTGGAATGTGTATAATTCCATGATTTTAATCCTTTGTTTCAGCTAAAGGATGAGAAGAAGGCTGAGTAGGCAGGGCGTCAGGCCTGCACAACCAGGGTAGCCCCTCCTGAATCTAGTCCACCATGTAGTTGGGGTTCTACTGTCTAGCACAGATTTTTAAATCACTGATCAACTCCAGCTCTCATTTTTTTTTCCAGACTGACAGGTATAAAAATTATTATTTGTTGAATACCCAATAAATTAAAAAACTGGACATTTTGCTAAATCCTTAATACCCAGTAAAAGATTTTGTCCCTCTAAGGACCACTTAACTGCCCTATAAGATTCATACCCACCTGGGCATCTTACAGATGTGTGCAGGGGTCTTGTCCCAGGATTTCATCAACAGAAAGCATAGGCTCCACTCTGTGGGGTGACCCAGGAAGCAGATGTGGCCTGCAGTATAGACTTTGCTCTGACAATTAACACCATAGCATCTTAGTTCCCTCAGTGAGAAATGGGAGGGTGCTCCCACCTCCGTCAACTTGAGGGGCATGAGTATTGTAAGCTTAAACTAAGTAAGGCATTTGGTGTCTTTCTTATTATTTATTTATTTATTTATTTATTTATTTATATAGTCATCTTTGTTATACAAAGGATGATATTTCTTATTTTAGAGGTTTCTTACATTTAATAGACTCCTCTGGTTTGGTTTTTCTTCATATGCTTGTGGATCATATTGACCAGAGAGGGCAGACCTGTCCTGGTCTTTTGTTCTCTTGCTGTTATAATTAATTAAGCACCCTCGAGTGTACATGAGTAATTGAACTAATTTTGTCCAGTGCATAAGAACTTGTACTTGTCTGTGCTGAAGTTCTCCTGCTGAGATGTATGTGGAGTTGCCTAGAAAATAATTGTAAAGCATTTTGCCAACTTAGTATGCCATTTGTAATTGTGCCAAATGCTTCCTAGGAATGTCTTATTTTTTTTTTTTTTTTAAACCCTAATTTCTTCTAAGTTTTCTCAAAACTGGGGCTGGAGGAGTTCCCACTGGACCAGCAGGTATTGCTGATCCATGGGATCCATGCAGACAGAGCAGGCTTGCCCATTCCTTTTTCATTCTCTGAGCAGCCAGGCTCCAGACTCTTCCTAGTAAAGGCGTATCTGATCACTGGTGCTATTAGCCAGCCCTTATCTGATACTGACCAGCAGAGGCAAGGCCCTAGGGCACCTAAAGGATGGGCTGGAGGCTCTGCAAGGCAGCTTGCTCCACTCATGAGAACTACAGAGCTCGGGGTTGCTACCCACTGCTGCCCAGTGTCTGCCTCTCTGCAGGAGCCACAAGCCTATCTGGCCAGCAGTCTGGAACAGACAGAACCGTGTCTGCTCTATTTTTAAATGAACAGGGGTGACGCCAGAAATCCTGTGTTATGAAAGGATAAATTAGTTTAATTTAAATCCTAGGAAATTCTTTCGCCCCCCTCCCCCGTAAATCTTTTAAAAGGGAGGGGTGGGCAGTCCACAAATACAGGAGTAGGAAGCTTTGCTCTTGTGCAGGTGTCATCTGTGGACATGTGCATAGCGGTTAGTGAGCAGATGAAGATTCTGCAGGTAGGGTCTGTTGTGTTAAGAGCTAGCGTAGTGGTGGAGTGCACTAGGAGCGTACAGCGCTTAGCAGCCATGGTGGCGTCAACTTTCAGCAGTAGTAAGCTCACCAGGCAACGGGGCCTTGTTTGGATTCCACGGGGATGGGACCCAGAGAGGAGTGAAGTAGCGGCAGCAAGAGAGAGGGAAGGAGCCCTGGCCTTTACGTTGTGATAGCTGCATTGCTGTCCCCTCTACTGCTGGCACCCCTCTCCCTCTCTGAGCCTCCCAGGCCCCGTAAGCCTCTCCCAGGCCTGGGCCTTCTCTTTAAACTGTGAGGTATGACACAGAAAGTACAGAGACCTCTCTTCTCATGGGTTTGGGAATTCTTGGTATTTCTACCCAAGTGTTATACCAAATCCTACCCTCAGCTTCTTTCCAAACAACCCTTTTCCCCTTAAATTTTTTCACTAAAATACAACATACATACAGTAAAGCATACAGATCTTAAGTGGACAGCCCAGTGAATTTTTACAAATGTACATCCCTGTGTAGCAGATGCAGATCAAGACAAAGCCCATTATCTGCACCCTACAGGCCTCCCTCTCACGCTTCCCAGTCAGTACCCTGACACTGCCTCTTCCGCCTTCATCTCTTCTGTCTCAATGAAGTTTTAGAATATTTTATAAATTAATTCCATATTGTTTTATGCCTGGTTTTGCTTGACATTATGTCTCTGGAATCCATCCATGTTATAGCATAGAGTAGCAGTGTGTTCTTTTTTCACTGCTGTATAGTATTCCAGCATGGGACTCTCTCCATTCTCTGTTGGCATTTGGACTGTTTCCCATTTGTGGCTCTCAAGAATAATGATGCTGTAGACATCCTGTTTGTCTTGCGTGCACATACACAGCCATTTGTGTTGGATCTGCACCTAAAAGTGAACCGCTGGGTCGTGGACAGCTGTGTATTTCACCCAGTAGAAACTGCCAGTTTCTCAGAGTGGTTGTACATCTTCACTCCCAGCAGCAGTGAGAGTCCCGGATGCTCCACATCCTCATCAGCACTTGGTATCATTACATCTACTTGCTTCTCTCTTGTATTATTCTGAAGTAAATCCCAGAATTTTTATAATTTCATCTGTAAATAAAGAATGATAAGAACTTAAAAAAACATAGCCACAGGGGACGCCTGGGTGGCTCAGTCAGTTAAGTGTCTGCCTTCAGCTCAGGTCATGATCCCAGGGTCCTGGGATCGAGCCTCGTGTTGGGCTCCCTGCTCAGTGGGGAGTCTGTTTCTCCTTCTGCCTCTGCTACTCCCCCTGCTTGTGCTTCTTCTCTCCCTTTCTCTCTCTCAAATAAATAAAATCTTAAAAAAAAAAAAAGCCACAGGACTGTTATACTTAAGGAAAAAAGCAATATTTTCTTTTTTAAAAAATTTTTAATTTTTCTAATTAGGCTCCATGCCCAAGATGGGGCTCAAACTCATGACCCCAAGATCAAGAGTTGCACACTCTCCTGACTGAGCCAGCCAGGTGCCCTGCAATATTTTCTTAATATCAAATAGCCAGTGTTCAAATTTTTAATTGTCTTATAAATGTCATAATCGTGTCTTTACATTTTTTACTTGAATCAAGATGCAAGTTAAAATAGGCCTACACATTGCAGTTGGTTAATAAGTCTTTTGAGTCTCTTTTAATCTATAAGTTCCCCCTTTATCTTTTCTTTTTTTCTTAAAATGTGTATATTGAAGAAGCTGAACTGTTTGTCCCACAGAATTTCCCAAATCTGGAGTTTACTGCCCGCACACCCCTGATGTAATCTAGCATGTTCTCTCCTCTGTGTGTTTCTGTACATTGGTGGTTGGAGGTAGCAGCATGATCAGGTTTGGGGTCAGTTTTTCGTGTTTGTTTTCGGTTGGGGGAAGCCTCCCGAGCGGCCCACCCACCGTTGTATCTTTTGAAAGCTGCATCAGAGCCAGCTGGAGCTCCAGGAGGCACGGCTCTCCTCCCGACAGCTGCAGGTGAAGGTGGAAGAGCTCACGGAGGAGAGGAGCCTGCACAGTTCCGCTGCCACCAGCACGTCTCTCCTGTCTGAGATAGAGCAGAGCATGGAGGCTGAGGAGCTGGAGCAAGAGAGAGAGCAGGTGCTGACATCCTGTCCCTCTGGCATGCGAGGTTGCCCAGGGATCACGGGGGCGGGCCCCAGACTGCGGGAGCCTGTCCGTCCTCCTTGTGGCCCCAGTGCCTACCATTTCAGCTTCCTCCCGGCGGGGGCCTGTGGCCCTGCACCTGTAGAAGCCTTCACCTGCTGGCCAGAGCCGTCGGGAAGCAAGCCTTGCCCAGAGCCTGTCCCGGGCTCCTGTTGCCCCAGTGCCTCTTAGGAGATGCTTATTGGCTCATCCTCAGCCTCACACGTCTTACACTGACTGGGCTCTAGAACACTCACAGTCCATCCAAAGGCTTGTTTTCATACTCCTCCTAACCACTTACTCCCCTAATCCTGACTCCTGTCAAAGTAACCAACTATAGAAAGAATGGCTTATATGACAAATGGGAGGGGAGTAGAGGGCTGGAGTCTGGATAGATGTACTGGGCCCAGAATAAGGACCAGTATTTCCTGGACAGGTGATTTAAAAAAGAAAAACTCTTTCTCTTAAAACTAGTCTCTTGAGTGTCAGTATGTTGGGTTCCTACACTAGAAAAAGGTGAGCGGGTGGCAGGCTTCTCGAGAGTCCGTAATCAAGAATGGTTCTTTGTGGAGCAGCTGAGACTGCAGCTCTGGGAGGCCTACTGCCAGGTTCGCTACCTCTGCTCGCACCTCCGAGGGAACGACAGTGCCGACTCGGCCGTCTCCACGGACTCCTCGATGGACGAGTCGTCAGAAACTTCATCTGCCAAGGATGTGCCGGCTGGCAGCCTGCGCACGGCCCTGAGCGAGCTCAAGAGGCTGATACAGAGCATCGTGGATGGCATGGAGCCCACGGTAAGCAGCCAGGCCGAGAAGCTCCTCACCCCACACAGTCTGGCTGGTGGGAGGCTAAAAGCAAGTGCGGGGGATGAGGTTAACCCAGGAAGGGCCACTTGCGGAGTCTGTGAGCATGCCGTCTGAGCCCTTATTGTCTGAGAGCACCGGGCAGAGGGACAGTGTCAGGGAATGGAAGTTCCAAAGTCATCTTCCTGAAGACACTGGCGTACAAGTGGAGTCCTTTCTCCATGTAGTTAAGTCCAGGCCATGGTGGCCTCGAGGTCAAGGACTTTCCTTAGAAGCTTAGAATATAGAAATTTGGATCTAGGTGCAAACTGCGTTTTTCTGTAGCTCATTGGTCCTGGTGGTGGAGTTAGCTGCAAATAGGCAAACTTGAAAGATCTGAAGCTTCTGCTAAAATGATACGAGCACAGAAAGTTGAGAAGATCAACAGGGGCTTTTTAGAATTCCAGATGTGGCCCCCCTTATGGAGGAGAATGTTCCTGTGGGCCTCCTGGGCAGATGGGCATCTCTTTCAGCTCCGTGACCAATTTCTGCCAGACTTCCTCTCTGTTCGCAACCCCGGCTGGCAGGCAGTTGTTTGTCTTCAGGGCCCGTCCTCCTACAGAATAGCTACCATCTTTCTACCCATATTAGATGAAGTCCTGTCAGAGGGTGGTTGCCCTTACCTGAACATGCTGCGTGGATTTGTGGAATGTGCTGTAGTCGTGGGGGATGGGAGCTATCAGAGTGAGGTGTGCTGTTCACGCCACGAAACTTCCCTCCCCTGAAGCCTGGAACAAAAATAAACGTCTAGCTGATGTTTGCAGATTCAGATTGGGCTAGAGAATCTGTCTCCTCTGACCCTTTCTTTCTTCCCTCCTGTGTCTCTCCTCTTTCTCTCCCTTTCTTTCCCTCCACCTTCCCGCCCCCATCTCCTCTATCCTGCTCTCCTCCAAACCGACCCATCTCTACTCCCTCCCCTTACCTCCCCTCTCCCTCTCTCCCACTAACCATCTCACCACACCCACCCCTGCTTGCACCATCTCTCGGGTTGAGGGCTTTCTCTTTTGCTGTCAGAGCTCCCGGAGAATTGACGATGACTCCTTAGAAGAACAGATAAGGCAGACCAGTGAGGACTCGAGAGCCCTAAGGGAACTCATGGAGGGAGAGAGGGGTAAACTGAGGCAAAGCCTAGAGGAGCTACAGCAACTCCACAGTCAGGTGAGCACCCCAATCCTCAGTCCCGAGCAGGGAATGTGCATGTGCCCCCCAAGGTTTCTTGGGACCCTCATGAATTTCCCTCTCCCGTGTCTATTTGAGAAGTGGCTCTCCTCTGACAGATCCTCAAAGGACGGTGACCTGAAGTTGAGGTAAGCTGGGCGTCTTCAAGAGAAGAAGCCAACCCTCTGGTTTATCCCAAAGTAAAATTGATAGGAATAAGAATAGCTGACCCTCCATTTCCTCCAGTGACATGCTGCCTTCCACAGAGCCCAGATTATCCCCCGGCTTCTGACAGTTTAAAGTGCCTTAGCTCTCAGGACGTTCTCGGATGTTTTTCCAGCAGCTTCTAAGCAGGGAAGTTTGCAAACCAAGAAGCAATTGATCTTTGTAGGCCTGTTCTCTCTTTGTAATGCCATCACCTCTGCCAGCCTGATTTTCAGCTTTAGAAGCACTTACTGCTACTCTTGCTGTTCCATTCCTGTTTGATCATGATTTCATCTCTCTCGAGAATCCTGGAGAAGGGCATCTATATTCCAATCTGAAAAGTTCTAAAGGGCTTAGAAGCAGCCCCCACCCAGAAAGGAGCTTCTAAATTCTGTCTTAGGATATAGATAAGGCGCTTCCTTTTGACAAGGGCCATGTGTAGTGTTCTCTCCCACTTGTGGGGGACACCAAACAGGTAGCATTTTAAACCCTGCCCCCACCCAGCCTGCCCCCTTCCTCCCTCGTCCAGAGCTGGTCATCCCTTCCTGCTGCACCAGATCGCTGAGAGATGGAAGTTAAGCCTGGCTTTTGCTTCAGTCAGTATTTCTTAAATTTAAAGGACCTTATAGAAATAAACTCCTTTTGGGGGTCATACCCATGAGACACCCCAACATAATCTTCTTGAAAGATATTGGGGAACCCTCCTGCAGCCATTCTGTGTGCTCTCCTTTCTGAGAGCGACCAGATAATGAGGGTAGAAAGATGCTCCTGAGAGCGTAGCTTATTTCCGACCAAGCCCTGAAGAATGGGATTGGGCAGCCAAAGACATTGTCATGCCCAAAGCCAAAGTCCCTCAGGCGGTCGTTTGGCCAGGGAGTAGTTCAGACACCAGCACAGGTCTTCAAACTGTAAGAATCAAAACAGGACAAAGTGGATCTAAAAGTTCTTTGGGTTAATAAAAGTTTATTTACTTTAAAGCCTAAATTTTTGTGGGGTGCTTCTTATCAGCTCTTTGATATTGGCTGGTTTGTTTTGTTGCTTCTCAGGATAGCAGAACTAGAAACAGCAGAGGGCATCATTGAGAAACAAGAGCAAGGCAGGCACAGGTTGCTGAGGGTCTGGACACAGCTCTTTCGGAGCCTGTCTCCACCAGGGGAGTCTCCTGAAAAGTTCAGCTGATAAGTGGTTAATGCCAGTTCCTGTGCATTCCCTCTCAGCTCATTAAGCGCTCAGTCCCATGGGGTATAGAACTGGGCCTCTTGAGTGGGTCATCTCTTCCCAAAAGCTTAGACAAAGCAGCAGATGTCTCAGCCAAACTACATCCATCCAGAACCATCCTGTGAGAGTAACACTGACCTCCCAAGGCAGTGGGTAGGACGCAGATTGAATTGCAGCATGCCAGTGGAGACGGTGGCCCTCAGAGCGGGCCCAGCATTCCTCATGCAGTTCGTGCAGCAGCTCCTGAGCATTCCCTGTGCACCTGCACTGTACTACACTAGTCCCTGAGACGCTCAGGATGGATGTGACTGCGCCCTCGTGCTCCACAGCCTCTCCTAGAACTGTGAGGCGAGTCAGACTAGCTCTGTTCCCTTTGGGGTGGGGACCGGGGGCGGGGGTTGCGGGGAGGAAGGGCAGAGCCCAGACAAGGTTATGTGAAACCGAAGTTCCAGCAGATAGCTCCTAGACGAGTGCAGCCTCATCCAAGGGATGATCCAGCCTCCAAGCCCACTGCTTTCCTACCCGAGAGTGTTCTTTTTTTCTCCTGGAAACTGAGCCACAGGTAAAAGGTGTGGGACCTGGAAGGTGAAGTGACCAGCCCTTCCTAAGCCTATCCAAATTTTTAAATAAAAGAGACCCCAGGTTTAATTTTAACTGATACTTGTGTTTGAGACAAGAATCTAAAACCAGACCTGAAGACCGCCCCACACCCTTATGCCATGGAGAGCCCCCTCTCAGTCCCCACAGCTTTGCAGACTCCTGCTCCCTTCTGGTCAGAGCTCACTGGGGTCTGGATCTGCTGCTGGGAGGCAGGAAGGACGTTCTGAACAATAGGAAAACCAGTTATCTGGGGAGCCCTCTACCAATTCCCAGGCCAGTAAAAACCAGGCTTTGGGAAGTACAGTGAGAAATAGAACCAGGCCTGGGGAGCACAGGGGGCTCAGGCAGTTAAGCAGCAGACTCTTGATTTTGGCTCAGGTCATGATCTCAGGGTCCTGGGATGGAGCCCCACGTGGGGCTCCCTGCTCTTCGGGGAGCCTGCTTCTCCCTCTCCCTCTCCCTCCCTCTCTGCTCCTCCCCCTGCTCATGTGTGCTCTTTCTCTCTCTCAAATAAATAGTATTGATTTATTTATAAATAAATCTTTAAAAAGAAAGAAACAAACAAATAGTCCCAGTCCTGTGTTTGGTTCCTTTATAGGGCTTGACTGCAGCACTAGCCATTTACCCCCAAGGGGCATGACAGCACAGCGGAGCAGGTACTGGGAACACGGAAGGCCTTCACTGAGGAAATCTTGGTGACTCCTCCTGGGTGAAATCTTTGTTCTCTTTTCTCCGGCTTCCTAGCCATTGCCCTATTTCAGACCTTCCTTCTTTCACACTGTGGCTCTGGTCATCACTCCCCCCAGCCCACTTACCCCACACGATTTGGATTGATCTTCCTGAAGCACAGCTTGGAAACAGAACACCCTTACAAGTTCTGGATTGACTTCCTCTTGTCACATGGCGGGAAGCCTCGAACTCTCGTGGCCCTACAGACGGGCTGCATGCCAGCCATCCAGCCTTCTTCCCCGTTGTTGGCATCTCCCCTCCTTTGCTTTAGTCAATTGAACATAGACTATGAAAGGGCATGGCGCATGCTCCTTGTGCTTCCCCACATCCAGGCCTTTTCTCCGGCCCTTTGCCTCTGCCCAGAAGACTCTCCCCGGCCACCTGCATGTATCAGCCCTACTCATCCTTCAAGTTTCACTTCTTCCTTCAAATTCTTGATTCCCTTCCTCCTGGAGCCCCCAGCCCTGCTTTGTCATGATTACCCTCACTCACATCTCATCTTCCCAGTTAAACTTTATACCTCCACGAGGACAAGCTTGAGGTCTGACTTCTCTTCGTCTTCTCTTAAAGCATTTAGCACAGGGCTCACCTAGAGTAGGCACAAAAATAATTACCAAATGAATGGGCAAAGAAAGCCCTAGATATATGACTTGAAGATGTTTTCTTTGATCCTATTCAATCATGAGGACACTTACTTTATGTGGGAAAAGTGGATTTAGGGGTGGCTGCAACCTAAGTCAGTGTATAAACAGGCTGGGCCAGTCCTCATGACAGCCCCAGCCATAGGTCCACACCAATGCGGAGAAGAGAAAGGAGCAGAGCTTGCCCCCAGGCGCCAGGCACTGAGCTCTGTCCTTGATGTCAGTTACCTTATTTGAGCCTCACCACAACTTGATGGTGGGAACTAGTTATTTTTATTCCTGCTTTTTATGAAAAGTATATGCAGTTCAAAGAAGGTAAGTCCCTTGTCACTTCTAAGGCAGATAGCTGATGGTCTCTACCTTGACCAAGTTTTCCAGACCAAAGCAAAAAGTTCTTACAGAGTTTTTTTTCTGGAGCCTATTAACTGTTGGCATTTCCTGCCTGGAATATGGTTTTATCTGTAGCTTACTCAGCTGGCAAAACCCTTGTCTGGCACACAGCCAGCCTGGGGCCGTGTTAGGGCTGATTTGGTCAGAGGAGGTCTGGCTCTCTCTCTGCCAGGTACTTTCTGGGTCTTGAGTTTCTGGCCTACCAGGCTACAGAACCTGCTATTAAGTAGGGTGAGGCTGGGTTTCTCACCGCTGCCTGCTTGCCTCAGGACTAGCTATACCCTGTGGCCTCTGCAAGAGCCCCAGCCTGTTCTTCCCTGTGGCTCGGAGCCCTGTCACCGCAGCTGTCCCCACCATGAAAGCACAGAGCACCTGGTTCTGACGTGTCCTACCAGGCGTCTAAGAGTACGAAATCCATTGCCCCCAGTAACAACAGATTGTCCTGTATGCCTCTTCATTGTGGGGCGTCCTCTGATTTCTTCCCGAGTGCCTCTACCCCAGGAGCTGGCAACTCTGCTATCTAGTCTGGGGAGTCCGAAGCATCTTCAGGGAAGCTTGATCTTCAGCCTTGCTCCTGGGGTCTTTGCTCAATTTCAGTCAGTCTGAAGATGTTTAGGCCTGGAATTTGAGTCAGGGAGTACACGGAAAGGTGGCGTCTGTCCCCTTATGGGAAGGCTAGACCTGTATGGATGGATCCTCCCTTGGAAAAATGTCTAAGTATGTGTAATATTTAACAAAAGGGCAGGGCCGGTCATCCTGACTCCAGTCTGAGCCTATTGACTGAGAAGGGGCTCCCACCCTTCCATTCATTCAACAAATATTTACTGAAAATTCTACCAAGCAGGGTTTCTGGTTGCAAACAACCAAAACTCTCTCTGCTTAACTTGAGAGAGACTGTATTGGAATTAAATCTGATCGCTAACAGAATCAACAGGAAGGCTGGAGAACCAAGCTCCAAAGCAGAAAGGAGCCATGGGAAGTGGGGCCACAGAAGCAATCTGCCGTCAGTGTAATAATTTCCCCCTGGCCTGTGGCTTTGCTGAACCCTCAAGAACTGCAGTCCCAGGTAGGGGGGTGTGACTGGCACATCTAGGTCACCTTTCCATGCCTCTGTGCTTAGGAAAGGATACATGTCTCTCCCCTTTGGCTTCCTTAGTGGGAGGGCATCCCCTGTTTCCCACCAAGACTCATGCAACCAGGAATGTCCCCCAAATAGGAAAGCATTTGGGAGGATGACTAGCCAAAAAAAGACAACTGTCTACTGCACAAGCATTTGGGGATTAAGCATCATACAGTCAGGCTCTGAAATGCACAGATGAGTAAGGCACACTTCCTGCCATTGCAGAGCTCTAGGTGTACAGAGGGTTCCTATACAAAGGATGGGGTAAGCTGCGGTCACCAAGGGAGTCACTAGGAAGGGCACCCTACCACCAAAGGATGGCCCCCAGTAAATGGGCTGTGGGACCATTCACTGAGGCATGGCCCACAGAAAAGGTAACAGGCTTGAAGTGAAAAATGATATCAAGTGGGTGTTTGAATTCCATATGGCTTTGACCAGGGAAGCTGAGTGACCAGGTTGCACCAAGTACTGTCACAGAAGTGGGAGCCAGGGCCCTGCGGATAGCCGCATTCCATGCTGAGTGGAAGATGGCTGGAAACAGAACTTGAGTCCCTACCCCTAACCATGTGTTTCAGAGCCCTGATGCATGTGTGGTCTTCATTAGTTGCCCGCAAGTGCCTTGAAATGGAGGTGGTGGTGTGGGGTGCTGCGTCCAAAGGGGATCTGAGCCCTGTGGCTGCCGTCCGGGGCTGAATTTCATCACCATCTGTGGGCTCCAGCCTAGCGTGTGGCATCCTTCCTACAGAAGAGATGGGCGTCTCTCAGAGCCAGGGGCCTCAGGAAGCTACGGGCACCCGCCTGGGGCTGCTTGTTCCTTTCTGCCTCTTTAAGGGCACGCCCCCAGGCCAGCAGCAGTGGCAGCCCCCCCCGTTCATCCCTGTGGTCTCCCGTCAGGTGACGTTGCTGAGTGTCGAGATGACTGCCCTGAAGGAGGAGAGAGACCGACTCAGAGTGACGTCTGAGGCCAAGGAGCCAAAGGAGCAGCTTCAGAAGGCCGTCCGGGACCGCGACGAGGCTATTGCAAAGTGAGTGGACAGGGCTTGTCGAAGCTGACTGTTGTCACAGCAACATGAGTATGTGCTCAGTTTTAAAAGTGAAACCCTACAGAAGACAACAAAAGTGAAAGTGTTGCCCTGCTACCCACCCTCACCCCCAGTCTGGTTCTTCTCCTCAGACAGACGCTACTTACTGGTGGAGGTCGGGGGTGTGTTTGCTACAGATCTTTCTCCTGTGCGTGTGCAGCTGTACGTGCAATAGAGTTGTTTGGGGTTTTTAAGTATCAGTGGGATGATGCTCTGTGTGTCTTGTATATCTTAGCTTTCTATCTCAGCTTTTCAATTTCATTATATAGACCTACCTCAACTTCTTTATTTTTAGGGTTTTTTAGGGGAGTTGTTACTTTTTATTATGGACATTTTCAAGCATACACAAAAGTAGAAAAAAAGATGAATCCCTACCCACCTGTCTTCTGGTTTCAACCCTCATCAGCATATGCCCGACTGTTTCATCCCTGTCCCCACCCACCTCGTCCCCCTCCCCGCTGGACCGTATGGAAGCAAATCACAAGATCCCTTATCTCATTCACAAACACTTCAGTATAGATTCTGCCAGATAAAGACTCTTTCTGGAAAACACACAACCACAATACAGTTGTCACACTTGAAAAAACTTACAATAATTTCTTAATATCATATAGTAACCAGCTGGCCCATAAATGTCTTTTAATGATTGATTAGAATCAGCCTCCAAAGTCCACAAACCCCATGTAGTTGATATGTACATAAGTCCTCTCCATCTTTTTTCCATATTGCATTTATTTATTGAAGAAACTGATCATTTGTCTCCTAGAGTTTTTCTACATTCTGGGTTTGATGCATCCTCAGAGTGTCATTCAACAGTTTTCTCTCACCTGTGTTCCTAGTGAACTGGGTCGTATTTTAATAATGTTTTGGGTTTTCTTTAACAGAGGAGAAATGCATTCTCTTGCATTCAAAAAATTTGGAAGTGCATAGGCAAAAAAACATACGTACATATTCCCCATCCCCCTTCAAATGATTTCTTTATCATGCATTCAATCTACCCTCTTCACTGTGAGGAAATAAAAGGTACTGAATATGTTGTCTGCTCAGGAGGCACTTTGCAGCACGCTCATAACATCTGTCACTTTACTGCTTACAAACACTTCATCCTTTAATCCTCCCAGCCACAGCAAGAAGTAAAAATTTTAATCCCAATTTTTACAGATGAGGAAACTGAGATACCTTCCCCAGTTCCACAGCCAGTGGTGATCACGCCTCCACCTCAGGTCTCTTGCCCCCTGTCCCCACATCCTTTCCCCTGTGTGGTAACACAGGCTGCTTGTCAGCAAACTAAAAGGAGCTCATTTGAAACAAATTGTAAATAGATACTATATACCTTTTTAAAAAGTAATAGGACACATTTTAACTTCTGACTTTAAAATGCCCCACACCTTTCCCCTTCTCACTTCCACACACATTTGTCCGCTCCCTTCTGCTCTAATCATTTCATCATCTCCATTACTTAGTTTTACCTTTGGGTCCCCTTTCCTGTCTGGCCAGGACCTTCTGTGAAGCTGACAATTTCCAGTTCATTTAGGAAGTATACTCAGTGAGGCTCACAAACCTATGCATCTCTGCCACTGGATTCCTGGTGAATATTTGATTCATTAGCGAATACTTGAATGGCACTGTAATATTTTGGAGTGGGAGCATACTTTCATGAATAACAAAGGGTGAAACTGTGTCATACAGTTAGGGAATAAAAATGGTAAAATTAAGGTGCTAATTGTGGAAGCCTGTTGGGAATAAAAAGCAGAATGAAGTTAGCTGTCTCTCAGCTGGACAAGCATACGAGAGCTGAACATCAAGCTCTGACCATATTCTGCCATCAGCACAGGAGGTGGGAGATACAACCAGAGAAAGAACCAGGGTGCAGGAGAGAAGAAGCAGCAGAACTTGTCTAGTCCCCTCCTTTAAAATAATTGGAACCTAGCTGTGACATCTGGGGGACCGAGGAGGCCAGCAAGTCTAAACCTTGAAATGCAGGCCTTTGCCTTCTGCCAAAGGAGGCCCAGTGAACCTCCTGGTGTCAGAGCAGACTCTCCTCTGTGAGTACTCAGAATTCTGCAGTGAAGCCCTTGTCCTTCATGGACCCTACAAAATAAGGCTGGTGCCGAGGGAAGGGGTTAGATCACTCCAGCACAGGTTAGCTCTTTTTCTGTCCCTTAGAAATTAAACTCTTGGTATAAAGAATTGAGACTACAGAATCATTTAAATGTGGGGGAAGCACACTTTGTATAGGACCTTAAGGGTTTTACAAGATGCTTTCATACACCTCATCTCTGATTCTCCATCCTGACTGCACTTTAGAATCATCTGGGGAACTCCCTGGATGCAGGGGCCCTCTCCAGACAATTCAGTCTGAATCTCCTAGTTTGGAGCTTCTTCTTAAAAGTGTCCCTACCCCACCCTGTGATTCTAGTGCGTAGTCAGGAGTGAGAACCCCCAGGAAAAATAACTTTCCTCTCCTCACTGGGCTACAAAAACCTTAAGGTGTTCTTTATCCTGCACATACTGAGTTTCAGAAAAGTTAAGTAACAATTTCGTAACTTGCAGGTAAATGGCCCTCACTAAAAGCAAAAATCTGGGGCTAGCAATCTGCCTCCCCAAAACAGGAGCCCGTTACTAGTGGTTTCATTTAAATAAGGAATTCTTCCAGCCCTTTGAGATACTACTTTTTAAAATTCTGATTAATATATCGATCAGCGGCCTCTGCGGCTTAGCTCTCCTGGTCTGGGGTTTCTCCTGAATGAAAAGCACCAAGATTCTCTAGTGAGCAAACGTTCTCTGGGGTGCAGTCCGAGGCTGGAATGCGGAGGTCGGCAAGTCGGGCCCCGCTTTGGGGGTTTTCGGGAAGGAAGGGGACCCACTGTGAGCCCGGCGACACAGCTGCGGCCGGACCTCCGCCCGGAGGCCTTGGTCAGCACGTTCCGGGGTCTCCGGGCTTCTCGTGGCGCCACCTGCCGGGAGACGCCCAGCAGCTCGGGAGGCTGCCAGGGGTTTGCGCCGCTGTTCCGGGACCGCGGTGGGGGTGGGGGGGGCCGGCTGGGCGTCCATGGCAACCGCGGCCGCGCGAGGATTTCCGCCGTTCACTGCCAGCCAATGGCAGCGGGCGTGACAGGGAGCCTGAGGCATCTGAGACGCTGGCGCTCATTGGACGGTCTCTGCTCCGGTGCCCTCAACCGCAGTGCGGCGGGCGGACCCGGGTGAGGCGAGCTGTCCAGATGGCTTCTCTGGGAAAGGCGGGCGGGGCGCCGTTCTGCGACCCTGAAGTGTCAGGGGAGGTGACTCACGGGTCGGACTCGAGGCTGGAGAGGAAGTGCCGGTCGCCGCGGCGGCCCCGAGAGCTTTACCCCAACTGCCCCGCCTCCCCGCCGCGCTTAGCTTGCTGCGGCCGGCGTCCCTGAGGCCTCTCCAGCCGGGTCCTCCAGCCGTCCTTGGGACGTGCACAGTGGTCGCCGGCCCGGTGCGTGAGGCATTTTGCTTTGCCGTTTCGAATGCAAGAGGCAGTTGATGACAGGGGCTAAGTAATGCCCATATTGGCAGCTGGGCAACCAGTGCCTCCTTGGCAGAAGCTGCCCGGATAGTCTCTCACACTTCGTATTCCCATTCCCCCACCTCTGAAGAAAAAATTTCTTTTGCATTGAACAACTATGATTTAGGAATGTTGGAAAAGGCAAACGGTAACATATGAAACATGTTAAAATGTGAAAAGACAAAATTCAGAAGTATGTGGGAGCCCATCACTGATCATTCAGAGATAGCCCAGTAGACATTGTTGTGTATGACCTTTAAACACACGGGCAGTTTTTTCTTCGACAAAACTAGTATCATACCAGACTTTGCCTTGTGGTGCTTTTCTCCACTCAGCAATTCTTCGTATTTCCCCATCGTCTGTGAATAATGAATACTCAGCGTCATGGTTGCTACTGGTGACTGTGTCCCGTCGCATAATTTACCACCAGTGCCCTAATTGCTGGCGACCATGATTAGCTAGGCTGTGATCATCACCACTGTGTGGCTACTTCTGCACACCTGTGTGCCTTTAGGACCGATCCCTTAAGTGGGGGGAGGTTGCTAGTGAAAAGGAGGGGCTGAGAGAACAAGGTCCTTACCTCCCATGGGGACTGGCCTTTTGGGAAGGTTTAGCAGCTCCTTAGTGCCCTGTGAGGCTTTTGATGTCCTCTGGGCTCCTGTCCTCCTTTACCCTCCTCCCTGAGCCCCCTCTTCATCTGTGAGATGGGGAGGACAGATAGTCCCTTCACCCACACCGTGTTACAACAGTTGAGAGAATGGATGTGAACCGATGCTGGGAACTTTCCAGCCCTCTGCAAGGAACATCCTAGTTACTGTCACGGTTCCTATTTGTTGTGAGTTTGGTCAGAGCTGTTTCCTCATCCTGTGGACTCCAGGTGCCCCAGGTAAAGAATCAGATGCCTCTGATACAAGGCGTCCGTGCTCACCCTGGCTTGTCTGTTTTTAGGAAGAATGCTGTGGAGTTGGAACTCGCCAAGTGCAAGATGGACATGATGTCTCTGAACAGCCAGTTGCTGGATGCCATTCAGCAGAAACTGAACCTCTCGCAGCAGCTTGAGGCTTGGCAGGTAAGGAGAGCCCTGAGACACCCAGGGTGAGGGAAGACGAGGCTCTGGGAGGAGTGGCTGAACCCAGGCAGAGCATAAGGAGAATTTGTCACTAGAGGGTCCCGTGCACATGGGTGAGTAGTAACCCACCTTCACCTGGTGCGATTCAGAGCCTGTGCTTCCCCAGTCCCCAGGGAAGAAGGCCTGAGGATGCTGTCGAGAGCGGTGAACCCCAGGCTGTGCCCTTTAGGGCTGCGGTGGCCTCCTCCGACTGGTCATCTCTGCTCTGTTTAAATTAGCTGGAAAGAAACAGCTGTTAACACAAAGGGCCCCGGAAGCCCTACATGGCGGGACAAGAATTCACAGCCCGATGTAGTTCCCCAGCCCCAGGGCCACCAGCAGCTGCTGCCCTTCCCTTTCTCGAAGGCCAGCTTCCTTTTTCCGAAGAGCACTACGTTGGGGGAAAATGAGTCAGTGTGTTCTCTCTAGGACCACCATTTTCAGAGTGCAGTCAGCCTGCTCTGTCCCAGCTCCAGCTCGGCTTCCCCTGGCCCAGGGCTGTACTTGCTTTTTGTTAAGGACAATTTCAGGATATGGGTGTAGCCGTTCGTGTCTCTCCCAACGAAATCCGAAGCAGACAGGTGAAGAGCTCCCCCGACTGGCGGGCAGGTTAGCAGTGACCATTCCTCCAAGGGCCCAGCTGGCCTGGCTGCAAGGAGCACTCGCCTCCCCGCCCCCGGGAGATGGTCCCTGGCTCCCGGGCTCCGGCCCCACCACCAGCTGGCCGGTCCCCGGCTCACGGCCCGTTCTTCTCTCTTCTCTCCCGGCTACAGTTTGCTTCCTCAGGGCTTTTTACTATCTGGCTCCTTTGGTTTCTGATCTAGTGGCCTTTCTCAGTTCCCGTATCAACAGCTTTAGTTGTACACCCCTCCTGCCTTTGAGGTGAGATCGAACCCCTATTCCACCCACCGTGTCCCCCCACTGCCATCGCCGTCCTGTCCCCCCCGCCTTCCCGTGGCCCGCCATGTTGTGTGTGCCCGCATCCGGTGTCATCTCTGCAGTGTGTGTCGTGCCATCCCCCGCAGCGCCCCTCCCGCCACCGCCACGGCCTGTTTCGGACCGCCTCGGCCCTGGTTCTTTGATGCTCCCTCTGCATCACTGGGCTCCTGTGCCCACAGAAGTGCAGGCAGGTGTGGAATTCTAAGTGGTTCACACCTGTGTGTGTATGAAGTTCTCAAGCGATCTATTTCATGGGCTTTGCTCTGATGAATTTTAAGGTATAAAAGAGGCAGTTTGCAGTGTCCCAGAAAAAGCCCCTGCGCTTCGAAAGGGTTTCTTTCTGAAGGGCCCTGTAACATTCCTAGTGCTGCAGGTAACAGATTTTATGGAGCAGGCCCTAAGCGCACGGCGCTGTGCCCAGGATTTGGCACTGGGACCTCGGAGGTAGGGAGCGTGTCCCCTATTTCTGTGAGGGGGAGGAGAGGCGCTGGAAGGAAGCGGGGTGTGAGGAAGCAGGACTTGAGCAAGGGAGGGAGCGGGAGGTCCACACTCCGTGCTTGCTACCTGGTGTGGGCTAAGGAAAGTCCCTTTGTTTCACACTAAAACCTACAGGGGCAGGAGCGTGGGTGTGAGCGCAGGAGGTGATGGACGGGGGCGGGGGGCGCCAGCCCCACTTCCTGCCCTTGTCAAGTGAGTGGCCGCCCAAGCGCAGCCCTCGCTGTCCGGCGCTCAAGCAGGACACAGTCAGCCGACTCACCCCAGGGGTTAAGCCAGGGTTTGGTGTCTTGACCAGGGCACCCCAGAGCCCACTGGGTTTAGGGGTGAAGGCATCAGACAGATGTTTGTTATGTTCCTGCTGATGTTAACTAGACAGGGCCGTTTCTATATCTAAAGCAGTAGCTTTCATACTTTGTTAGTGGCAGAATGCCTTTGCCAAGTGGACTCTTGTGCAGAGTCGGGATCCTACCACTAGAATGGAGAGAGGGCGGAGCTGCTGTGTCCAGAAGCCCCTCTGTGGGGTACAGCTGCTGTGCCTTGAGGCAGTCGGGGTGAGGGGGCCATTTTCTGGGCAACTTTACCAAATTGGGGAAAGGTGCTACCCCAGTGAGGAAGCCAGGGATATGGGCCTGAGCAGGAGCAAGGCTGGCCCTGAAGACAGCGGTGCCTGTGGCCTGTGCGCAGGTCGGGAGCCGCGCCAGCGGAAGGTGCAGCCTGTGCTTGGCCGTAGGCGAGGGAGCCTGTGTCCTGGCCGTGCGGGGCTGCCGTGGCACCTGGGCATTCGCGGTGCAGCCTGGTAGAAACTTGAAGGGGGCTGACCCTTTGGACCAGAGAGCCGGCAAGCAGAGGTCGCCCTAGGGCCCGGGGAGGGGTGCCGAGGGAAAGGGAGGCAGGGCAGAGAAGGCCGGCCACCAGCAAGGCCTGGGTGGAGACAGGCTTGCCCCGCTCTGGGCTTGTAGGGACACACCGGGGGCGGGGCCAGCCGAGGAGCTGTTGCCCGCAAGAAGCCCGGAGGCGGCGGCGGTGGCGGTGGCTGCTGTGTGTCTACACTTGCTGCTTCCGTGGTCGGCCTGCCCCGGCTGCAGCCATTCAGTCATCTCATCCCATCCTCGCCCCGCGTCCTGCGGACATTTCCGCCCCCGGGCCCCAATCAGCAGCCCGCTCAGCCCCTCCGCTCTGCCCTCCGCAGGATGACATGCACAGGGTCATTGACCGGCAGCTGATGGACACGCACCTGAAGGAACGGAGCCGGCCTGCTGCCGCCCTGTCCAGGGCCCACGGCGCGGGGCGTGCGGACGAGCCCGGCCCCGCCGAAGGCAAGCGGCTCTTCTCATTCTTCAGGAAAATTTAGGTCAGGAGGAGTCAGGCCAGCAAGGATGGGTGGACTAGAGGTGACTGAAACGGGGTGCGTGCGAGGGCCCAGCACACCATGCTTGTACACGAGGGCTCCCCTGGGCCAGCTCCGCGGCTGCACTGCCCACCCACGCTGGGGCCGAGTCTCCAGAAGGGCCCACGCGGCCTGTGATGGTGGCCCTCGACAGAGGGACAGGCAGGAGCCCCGTCCCCACTACCAGCCCGCAGCCGGCCTGGGCTTCCCCCATTTCCGCTGTTGAGCAGGGCTCAGGCTGCCTCCAGAGCGGCCCCTTGGGCTCTGCGGCGCAGACGCAGGGGGTCACAGCCCACCCCGCCCACCCCTCGGTGGCTCCCGCGTCCCACCCCAGGCACCGCTGCCCTCCTGCTTGGGAATACGGGGAACAGAAGGAATGGAGGCTGTCGCGGCCCCAAGCGAGCCTCAGCTGCAGCTGGGGGGCGGGGGGGGAGGCCTAGTCCTCCGGGACAGCAGGCCCAAGGCTGAGCCTCTGCCTCGCCCCCAGTCTCTGGCCCACGGAGGAAGGGGAGGCGGCTCCTCACCCACGTGCATGCACCTCTGCAGCAGGGGGCCCAGCCTGCAGGGCCTGACGGGCGGCAGCTGTTCTCTTGCATTCAGCCACAATGGGCTTTACCCAGGCTTGGCTGTCACCATCCCAAGGTCAGGAGGAAGGGCCCTGCCACCCCCCCCGCCATCTCCTCACCCCCCCCAGCCGCCACTATTCTCCCTCCCTGGCCTCCAGTGTTTTCCTGGGCCCTCTGCAGGCATTAGCCAGCCAGTCCTTTCCCCTTCATGGGGCCAGAGCTGGGAGGGGGTCTGCTCCTCTGCCCACGGCCCCCTGCTCCCCTCACACAAGTTCTTGGCTCGGCCAAGTGAGTCCAGGCCACAGAATGGCCCCAGAGGGGTCTGCGGTCAACCACCTCCACCTCGAGGGCAGCACTGGCACCACAGAGCAGATGCCACCAGATAACTGCCGCCCAGGCCTGCAGAAGGATGAATCCTGCAACCTGCTGCTTCTGCTCCCTCCTCGGCGGCCCTCCCCTCCCCCCCTCTGCTGAGGCCCTCACTCAGAGGCACCCCGGGCTGAGCCTGCCCACAAGCTGCTTTACAAAGGATCATCTCCCTCCCTCACATGGGAAAAGCACAGCAGGGATGAGCGGAAAGAATGTACCTATAGATATGTACATACCACAGTGCTGTAATTTTGTATGTAGCAATCATGTAAATACATGTATGGATTTTATAATATACATATTATATATAAATCTATAAAGGCATATTTTTAGAAAAACAGCGCACCACTGCTTCTTTTGAAAATAGTCTGAGAATAAAATGAATTTCTAAAGAGCTTCCTGCCTCAATCACTGGGGACCCGGAGAGCTTGTCTGCTCAGAATGCAGCTTCCACTTCGGAGCCACCAGCTGCCCTCTCTGAAGGGGCAGCGGTAGGGAGTCCTTCACGCCTCTGGGAGGTCACCTCCTCTCTTGGTCCCGGGTGAGTGGATTCAGCCAGGAAGGGGGGGGGGCACCTCCCCCGGAGGGCACAGCATCCTGTCCAGGACAGCACTCTGGGGCCTGCCTCCACACCCGCCCTGCTTCCCGAGCCTCGAGCAGGCCATACGGCTTGGCAGGAACTTGGAGCCAGAGAGCAATCACTGCATCCTTCCGGCCGCGCGGAGAATAAACACGGCGCTTCCCCTGCCATCTTACCACGTGCGCTCCCAACCTCTGTGCTGAACTGGGGCGGGGCGGGGGGGGGGGGGGGCGGAGCTCAACCTGGACCAACCTTTTGTGGAGAAAACAAATTTCGCTCCTGAAAGTGTCCCTCGGCCTCAACAGGCACCTGTGCTGGACTCAGACCAGGACAAACAAGAGCTGGATACCGTGGGTGGGAGGAAGGCAGGCCCACCCTGAGCACAGCTGGAGGAGAGGAAACAGACCCTGGAAGAAAATTTGGCAGCTTGAACCTTTATTTTTAGTATTTTTTTAAAAAGCATAATTAGAAACTTTCAATACAGAAATAATCCTAGCAAACCATTTAAAAGTTTTGTTGTTCGACAGGAATTTCACATCAGGTCCACCAGGACGTCAGTCCAGCCCTGTGAGCCCCCCCACCCCCACCCCCCATTCATGCGTGTAACACTCACTGGGACAGGCACACTGTCGTCACCAAAATCACCCCACCACCTGGGTCTGGACGTCCAGTTGCCAGAACCATACTGTCTTCTAGCCCAGGCTGGAAACTTCCAGGACCCCTTCCCCTTATTGCTTGAATTTGCAAGCACTGCCACAATGACGTCACGTGAATGCTCAGAGTTGAGAACGCTGCCCGCCCAGGAGTCTCGAGCTCTCTGGTCACCCAGCACAGCCCTGAGGACGGAGACCACACTTCCGCTCCTGGCCCCACGGCCACCCTCCGCAGCCCTGCTTCCCTAGGCCCCGAGCTCCCCCACCTCGTCAGGTAGTTCCAGTGAAGGCCTGCTCCCAGAGAACCACAGGCTTTTGGCAGCCTGGGGAAGTGGAGAGACAGAGGTCAGTATTGGCTGAAAACCCATCAACAGTGTTAACATGGAAAATCTGCAGTGTGATCTGTGATGTGATTGTCCAATCAGGGCTTTGCCTGGAATTCGCCTAGGAAAGGAAATCTAATAAAACACATCATGGTGTTGAAATAAATTACTCCCAGGTTACGTGATCCTTTTAGGGGAAAGGTGAATGATGAAGTGTCCCGAGGGGGACAGTAATCAAGTGCAGATGACCCTGGCTTTTTCCTCCAGGGGACCACGGTCAAAGCTGGCTGGCTCCCAGCCCCAGGCTGCCACCCTTCCCAGCCGCTAACAAATCCTCCCGCTGCCTCTGCACTGAAACAGTCCCGCCAGTGATCAGGGTCTGCCTGCCGTCCACCTCTGAGGTGGCGTCCCCACCGCCCAGCAGTGCCTGGCACCCATGCCTCACATCCAGGGCTGCCTGGTGCCGTGACAGAGACCCGGGAGCTCCGTGGAAAGCCCTGGGCCGACACAGACGAGGGCAGGAGGCCCGTTCTCCTCTCCCACCAAGAAACGGCCAGGAAGGCGAGGCTGCTCTGCCAAGAGCCCAGCCCCACAATGACAGGAAGCCATTCAATTTTTCTAAAAACACTGGACCCAAAGTGGAGAGGCCACAACGTTTGCTGCTGTGCCAACCAAACCTCAGGAAGAGAAAGTGTGAGGAATTTAATTCATTTGATTTGGCTTCATTTTCTTTTATGTGTTAAAATAACGCTCCTCGGTGCCCCTGCAAGCCCCCTTCCCTGCACAAACACACCCCTACCTTTCTGTTGGAACTGAAACACGTTGGTATAAATTAAAAGCCACGGTTTCCCTGGGGTTGTAGTTCAGAGGCATCTAGAAGGCAGGACAAGAAATCTGGTGACCAAAAGGCTAGGCCTCTAATGGGAACCCCCAGGCCTACCTCCAGGCCAGGCTTCCCCCAGCTGCCAGAATGGTTACGGGGGCGGGGCGGGGTAGGGGAAGGAAGGGAGCTGGGCCGGGAAGAGACACAACACAGGCCCCCCGAGAGAGGGGGCAACCCGATGTGCCAGGGACAGAAGGTGACAGCCTGTAGGAGAAAACATGTAACGAGGAAGGCCCGCTCCACCAGCCCAGGTTGGCTAAAGGTGTGGCTAGAACTCGAGCCTGTCTCCTCAGGAAGCCGCTGGCCGGAAGATGGGATGGGGAGGGGTGCGGACGGGAGGGTCTACTGCAGCGGGCTGGCATGAAGGAGGCAAAAGCCAGAGCAGGACGAAGGTGACGCAGCTGGTTAAAGCAATACACGTATGTACACACTCTGGCTCCTCAGTCCGCTCGGCTGGCCGCGGTGTCCCCGGGCCCAGGTGCCCGGGCCAGGGGCACCAGAAGGGAAGGGCAGGTCGTCCGACACCTTGGCACTCAAGGGGGGAGGGGAGGAAGTGCCGACGGCGCCTCCCAATACAAAAACGGGGAGAGAATTCTTTAAATAACGGCACGAAGATGCGACTGTCCCCGAGGAGCCCCGCGAGCGGCGGGCGGGGAGCAGGCACAGCGCAGTCTCTGCGGGGGGCCGGGGGGCCGGGGGGGGGGGTGCCTAGCAGCAGCGCTTCTTCCGTTTACTGTTCTTCGTGAGCTTCACCACGTCGTTCTGTTGCTGCTGCTGCTGCTTGGCTAAGTTGTCCTTCTTTGCTCGGAGGACCAGCTCTGTGATGCAGTTGAACATCTGTGAGGACGAAGGAGGTGGGGTGGGCCTCAGACCCGGCGCCCAGGCCCCGCTCCCCATCTGCTCTTTCTACCCTCAGGGCTTTCTGTACACATGTCCCCAGACCCTTTCCAAAAGGAGCTGGTCAGTTCTAGAGGTCAGAAAGGAACAACATCAAAGCCCCATGAGCTGTGTCTTGGGGAAATCAATCTCAGGGATTTTCCAGCCTTTCTTTTAAAAAGAGAGAAAGAACCTCTCCAGCTGGAATCCGGACAAGACAAAGGCGCCCCAGCTCCGGTGTCGGGCCAGAGGGATCCAGAGCCTGCCCACTCCAGGCCCCCAAGATGTCCCTGCGGTGCCAGGATCCAGTGGAACTCCACCTGCCAACCCACAGTCCTCTCCTCCACTCTGCCAGGAAAGGTATCAAGCACCTGACATAACTTGTAAGCTTCACTTACTCCTCACAACCCAGGAGGCAGGGACCCTCACCCCACCCCGATCTACAGAAGGAACAGGTGCAACCTAGAGAGGTTAAGTCACCGCCCAAGGTCACACAGTAAGGCCCGTCCTGTGATCCCAGCCTGACTCGGAGGCACCTGGGCTCCCTGCCACTGTGCATCGGGTGTCCAGGATGCAGTGGGGAATCCTGGCTTCCCTGGGTCTCCAGATTCCACACACTGTGGGGCAGGACTCACCTAAAGCTACAAGCATGGCCTGCCTGGGCTTGTGGCAAAAGGTCCCACTTTTCTCCCACAGGCTCACAACTACCTCCTAGCAGGCCTAGCGGAAGGGAAGCTGCCCCCGGGCCAGAAGCTCAGCTGCTCTGTGGGGGACGTGTCTTCCCAGCAGCCTCTGGGGGCCTCGCAGCAGGTGCCCACCCGAACTCGGGAGGCCACAAGGAGGCAACCAGGTGTCTACAGGGAGGCCAAGGCCCCAAGGAAAGCCTTGAGAGCAGGAAAAGGTAACAGGTGGGGCCAGGGAGGGCAGTGAGGCTGAAGACTGAGCGGGAACCCCGCGTGGCTGGGCTCCAGGTGACTTGGCCTCTTACAAGTTGGGTGATAGTCCTCAACTTGGAACCTCAGGTCAGAGGACTTAACACCTACAAAAGGCCTAGCACGATGCCTGGCACCCAGCAGGCCCTGAGGAACGGCAGTTACTAGGAGGTTTTCTGTCCGCCACCCGGGTACTCTGGGCAGGCTAGACGTGCAGAGAAGAGGACTGTGGCGGTGGGACAGAGTTGGGCCCCACTCCCTCCCCTGCCCCCACTCGGGCCCAGGCCTCACCTCTTCCACATTGACATTCTCCTTGGCGCTGGTCTCAAACAACTGGATCCCCATCTGCCCTGCGAATTTGTAGGCATCTTCTGTTTCCACCACCTTCCGCTCAGGGTCGTCATTCTTATTCCCCACTTCAAGGCAAAGCAAAGTCAGCCCAGCCCTGCAGGAGCACCCCCCAGCCACCCCCCAGGCCACTGTCCCCACCCCGGTGGGTCCAGCCTCACCTAATATTCGGCACACATCATCACAGTTTTGGTTGATTTCATGAAGCCACCGCTTAACGTTGACAAAGGACTCTGCACTGGTGACGTCATAAACCACGATGACCCCGTGGGTCCCCCGATAATACCTGTAGGGTCAGGATCTGTGTCAGAGCTTCAGCCTAGACAAGAGTGGCCCCTTCACTAAGACCGAGCCTGCCCGTGTCCGGACAGCGGCCAGGGAGATGGTGATGGGGCACATGCTCTCCTGCAAGACACCCAGCATCTCCTCTCCGTCTGACCCCGGCTGGACATCCTGGAACCATGCACCAGCCGGGAGGCTCAGCAGCACCGTTGCTCACGCTTGTCCCCAAGGCACCAGTGAAGAGGGAGCAGCCCTGAGGTGGCCGGTCAAGTTGTTCGAGTCTGCCACTAGCCTGAACCTTCTTTGAAGTTCTTGTTTTAGGTTTAAAATGCAAGTAATTTTTGTATTTGATGTCCTATTATTACTGTCCTTGTTTTAACATTCAAAGAATTTCTTTCTTCAAATCTCTTAGTAAAATGCCATTCCAAGAAGACACACCATTTGTGAAGCCCGGCCAACGTCTCATTCACCCCACTGGGGGCAGGTGGACACCTCCCTTCCGCCTCTCTGGGCTCATCTGTGCTGGTGGCAGAGAGCGCATGGCAACGGTGTGGGTACCCAGGCACAGTGGGAAGAAGGTGTCCCAGAGGTGCCACCATCCAAACGTGCAGACCCTATGGCCTGAGGTCAGCCAGAAGGTCTGGAAGGCAGGAGGATGGAGGACATGGACCGCACACCCTTGCCACCCCCCCGCCCCGGCTTATCACAGCCTGAGCCCTCGGCCCTCACGCCAGGCACCAGAGCCTTAGGGGGGTGGGGATGTCCTCACGACCAGCTCAGCAGCGCTCTGGCCAACTCTTCACTTGCTAGGCCCAGTTGCAGGACAAAGGCTACCCTGGCACAATCTCTGAAAGGACGTGGGACCCCGGGACGGTTACGGCAGGCACCCCGGCGCACCTCTTTCCTCAACTGTATGATGGTACGTGCTCTTGGGACGGTTGCGAGGAATAAAGGAGAGAACTCACGTTTCCACAAGGGCCAGTCAGTAGTCAGCATTCAAGGAATGGTGGCTCCTCACCATTATTAATATTCCTTCAGTGACAAGCTGGGGCCCCTGACCCAGGTGGAAGAAAACCGAGGGACAGCGTGCAAGGCAGCAGGTGACCCACTCTCCCAAGCTGGCCACCAGGGCTGCAGGCAGAAACAGTCTGTGCTGTGCCCCCGGGTCTAGCCCAGCTGGTCTCCCACCCCGTCTCTGCCCCCCTCAGAAACCTGCTGGGGGCTCTGGGGGCTTCATTCTGCCACAGCTCTGCCTTCCAGGGACGCAGTGTCCCTGCCCTGGGGAGGCTGAACCGCGAAGCCGGGCAGGCGCCGGGCCCTCAGGACCAGTCTCGGCAGTGCCCCAGCAGCTGTTGCTGGGAGCGCCAGGTCCTCGCCCAACCGGGCAGGAGTGCGTGCCAGGGCCAGGGCGACAGACGACTGTCCCCAGCCAGCAAAGGCAGTGCGAGCGAGGAACACATTTCCAAGCTCTCCTGAGTTCAAGACTACTGAAATGCCAAGAAGTGCCAAAAGGGCGAGAACTAGTCTGGGGATGAGATCGGGGCTCAGAGCTCTGAGGAGGCGGGCACCAGTGCTTCTGGACCTCCTGTCACCACCGCCACCAGTAATCACACCCACTCACCCCTGCCCAGCTCTGTGCCCGGCATGGCGCCCAACACTTTATATCCACCGCCCTATCAATCTTTGCAGCGACCTGGCATGACAGACATGCGCACCCCTTTTGACCAGTGAGGCCACGAGGCCACGTGGAATGACCTGCTGAAGTCAGAGCGTCTGGGCCGGACTGCCGGGCCAGGGCCAGGTATCAAAGGGGCTTCCCTTCCTCACCACCCAACAGCTTGTTACTCACCCCTCCCCGACCTGCACCCCAGCTGCGCCTCTCAGGGTCAGCAAACCCCGCCCTCAGAGACAGAGGAAACAGGGTGACCAACAGGGCTCCCCGTCAGGCTAACAGGATGCAGTTTTAGTTTCTCTCTTAATGCCCTGAATCAGAAAAGGCCATACTACTACAGCCTGACCGCCCCGATCCCCGAGAACAACTCCTGAACTCTCCCGAGGCTCCCTTCCTCACCACCCACCCCGGCAGGACGTGGAGTCTTTCCGCGCCCCCCGCCCCCCGCATGGTGTGTGCGCCTCCTGCCTCGTGAGGTGCGCCGCAGGGGACCGCAACACGGAGCTCCCTCAGCTTCCCCAACACAGGCAAGGTGGCCAGCAGAGGCCAAGCCCGGGCTCCCCGGCCACCACGGTGCTGCACTGCCCCCCTTCTCGAGCACCCCGGAACCACCACACGTTGCCCTCTGGTCGCTGAGCTACTCCAGTGTCCCCAACAGAATGAAGGAGGCGATTCACCTCTTCCACCCTGACGTGAAAGGAGCTGACCTCGAAGTGGCCACGGACTCCTCTGCACCCCAGCCCACTGCCCTGCCCAAAGCCCTTTTCACGGCCACAGGCCCAGTATTCTTGGCCACCCTCAATTCCCTAAGCAGTTTTAACCCACAGGAGACACTGGAGCATCTCCTCAGCCCCAGGCCCTCAGGTGGGGGCCAGCAGAGAGCAGGGCCGTGGGACCGAGCCAGAAGGCAAGAGCTTTGGCATCAAACGGGCCTCAATTCAACTCCTAACTAACAAACCAAACTAAGTCACTTTACCCTCTCTGGGCCTCAATTTTCTCATCCATAAAATGGAAACAATCACAGTACTCTTTTTTATTTGGAATTAAATGAAATAAATACAGTAAAATCCTTAGCGACAGTCCCAGCTCAGAGTAAGGACATCTGGGGTCAGTGCCCAGACCTCCTGACCTGGACAAGCGGTCTTGTTCAGGTCTGGACCCTTGGGCAGCCCATGCCATCCATCCTACCCCAAGGAGCCTCTGACCCCCAGTCGCCCTCCTTAAGGCCTTGCTGCTAATTGCTACGACACAAGGGGATTCAGGCAGCTCATCAGCAAGTAGTCAGAGAGTGCTGCACCAGGCGGCGCCCAAGCCCGGGGACCCGTGGGGTCTGTGGCATCACAGGCCATGGCGCATGGTGTGCTCACCAAGGCTGGCCCGGTGACAGAAGCCCCTCCTGCTCAGGGGCTGCTCGGGCTCCAGCCCCTCGAACCAGGGCAGCCCACCACTGGCCTAGCCCCTCTGCCTGCCTGGCCAGCACCCCCGAGAGTCCCCCCACGACACTCCCAACCACCACCGTGGGGGCTTTTCGCCCCTCGGCGTCCCATCGCTCCCAAAACCCTGAGGAGCCTCCAGATGGGTAGGCAGCCTGGGGTCTGTCCCATTTCCATGCCGAAGGGAAGAAAGGGATCTCTGGCCAGAAAAAGTCACACACTTTCCCAAGAGCCCCCAGTCACACAGGAACTTCCGGGGGGAGGCAAAGGAGAGGCCTACCAAAGCAGCAACTACTGCCGGCCAGACCCCAGCTCCTCCGCACACGTCACAGGGTGGAGCTCAGGCTCTGCCACTCACTGGGAGCAGGACTGCTCTCCGAAGTCCCCTCATCTGGAACATGGGGAAAGCAACAGTAGCGACGGCAGCAAGCGCAACCAGGTCGCCCGTGGGGAGGCCAAGCACAGAGCACCTGGCGCAGGGGACTCAGCATTAAAGCCAATCCTAAGGAGAAACCCTCTGGGAAACTGAAGCACAGAGAGTTTAGGCAACTTGCCCAAGGTCACACAGTAAAACAGAAATATAAATTCCGAACTATCTGTCTTCAAAGCCCTGCTCCTTCCTGGAAACTTTTCTATTAACAGCCCAAGAACCAAGAGCCCCTCCACAGTTCCAGGGGACTCCTGCTGTCCGGGGCTCCAGCTGGGTTCCCCCTCTGTACAGCTAAGGACCACAAAGGTGCTGCAGCTGCAAAGGAGGGCAGCCCACTGGGTGAACCAGGCTCCTGGTAAACGGCTTTGGGGAGGCAGAGGAGAGGCCTCCCGAGGGCCTCCTATGTACCAGTGCTCCTTCCAGGCCTCTCAAAAGAGGGAAGCCTCCTCCCAAGTCGGGGTGGGTGACAGGAGCCTGCACGGCCGGCCGAATAAGTCACTCACTCACCGAGTGACCACCTAGGGAGCCACATCCCTGTTCCCCCATTTTACATACTGAGGAACTGAAGGCCAGAGGGCAAGCTGGCTGACTCGTACTGTCCTGGCAGCTCCCAGAGCCAGGGCCCCCAGCCACCAGCTGCCCGTGGACAATAGCCCACCTCGTCACCTCCTCCCCTCGCGCGACACCAGCCACTGTGGCCAGCAAGGAGCCCACCCCGTGACATTTCTGTGACTCGGGACACCCGATGCTGATCCAAATGCAGGTGGCGAGGGGGAGGCCAGCCTGACTCACGTGGAGGTGATGGTGCGGAAGCGCTCCTGCCCGGCCGTGTCCCAGATCTGCAGCTTCACTTTCTCCCCGTTGATCTCCACAGTCCGAATCTTGAAATCCACTCCGATTGTGGTGATGTAGCTGCCTGCACACACACGCACGTTAGCCAGGCCCGTGGGGCGCCCCCGTCGGGACGTATCCTCACCCGCACAGGGGACCCTGGCCTCCAAGATCCCTCCCCGCTGGCTCTTTGTGCCTAGCCAGTTGGATGTCCCAGGGACACAGCCCTGAACAAAAAAGATAAGGTCCTCACCCCAATGGAGCCCTCATTGGTGGAGGGCAAGAGACGGGACATAATGAAACAGTGATAAAGACCACAATTTCAGGAATGAGGAGCACCACAAAGGAAATTAAACCAGGATGAGACCAGGGAGGGGTCAGGCTCCTTGCATTAGAAGGGCCAGCACGCATGTGTCAGCAGCGGCCTGAGTGTGCTGGGGGACCCAGGACACACTCTGGGTTTTTTTTCCTGTGCTATTCCCAACACTGTAAATGACCCACAACATTAACTTCCTAACACACAAGTCACGACCTGCATTTTGGAAAACACTGCTCCAGGCAGAGGAGACAGTAGCAAAAATAGCAATGGGGGAGGGTGGGGGGGTCACGTGAGGTCGGGCACGCAGTGGGAGGCAGGTAGGGGGACCGGAGGCCGGGTCTCAGGGCCTTTGTGCCATTTCCACGAGCTTGGACTTTCTCTGGTGTGTGGCAGGGCGGCACTGAAGGGTCTGAATCAGAGCCTGAGCCGCATTGTAAGCGGTTCATTCAGGCATCTGTGTGAAAGACGGAGTTGAAGAGAAAATCTAGCCAATGTCCTAGTCCCGCCCAGGCTGACAAACAGCACACGTTCACGCTCTGTTTGGGGCTGACTGTGTAACACGGTGCTGCAGACAAGACCCACACACACCCAACTACATGGTGCGCTTATAGGAGAGGTCAAACTTCAGGGTGGGGCAGAGATCAAGGAAGGCTTTGGGGAGGAAGTCACACTTGGGCCTTGCTCAAAGAAAAGGCACCATTTCCAAGACCGAGAGAAGGTGGGGGTCAGAGCAACCAATGTCTCTCAGGTGGAGCCCCGGGATGCTGCTCAACATCCTTATACGCAGAGCAGGCCCTCCCCTCCCTGGGAAGCACAGGGCCCCAGTGTCGATGGTGCCAAGCTGGAGAAACCCCGGTATAAACTCTGCTCACGTGAGAAGGCCGCTGAGGTTTGCCACCCCAGGAAAGACCTGGCCAGAGACCCCGTATGGGCAAGATGAACTTGGCCGTCGGGTATGGGAGGGGCAGAAGCTGCTGTGACGCTTCGGGCCAGAACCAACGGGGGTCTTGACTAAGATGCGGGGGGTAGAAACGGAAAGGAGACACCGCCCAGGAGACCAGAGCTGAAAGCTCCTGGGCAGAGAGCAAGAGGAACACAAGGAAGAGCGGTGCTCCTGGGCCTGGGAAGCTGCCAACAGGCACCATCCCTGAATGGAACAGAACAGCAACACCACCCGGCTGCTGCTTCTGGGGGGATTCCTTAGTCCAGGCACTAGGACTCGGGGCATCTCGGGTAATCCCCGCAATCACCCTATGCGGGACGGACGCCAAGTGGTCCCATTTCACAGATGGGCTGAGACTTAGTGGCGCCCAAGGGCACACACAGGGCAGACCACTCTTCCCGACATCACACCACCAGGGGTGCTGCAGGGCTACTGTCGGGCGAAACCCAATTGTCTACCAAGAGGCAAGTGTTTGCCACGTAATCACTTCCTAATTGTAGCTCGCTGCTCAACCACAGCACACGAATTCCGACGACAGAGTCACGTTCAGTCCTTGATCAGAGAAGCCAAGCCAACCAGAAGCCTCTGCAATGAACATGACATTCAACAAACAAAAACCTGTCCAACTTCACCAGCTATCAGGAAAATACACATTTAAGTTGATGGCACTTTCTGCCTATTAGCTTAGCAAAAATGAAGACTAAGATGCAGCACTAATCAGAGTTGACAAGGGGCACTTTTGACCCCTTCAGTGGGAGTGTCACTTAGCACAGCTTCTTTGAAAGGCAAGATGGCAGTTTCAAAAGCCTATACCCCGACCTAGTAACTCCACTTCTATACAAGGATAAACATACGATGCACCCAAAGTAATGCAACACTTAAAATAGAAGCAGCCAGAAAGCACGCACATATCAAGAGCACTGCCAATGAATGATGTAGACCCATGCACAGCTCAGGAAAATCCACAGCCATTCAGAAGAACCAGGGGTCTGCTAGAGATGGGCAAGGATGGTCCTTGATATGCTGAGGGGAAGGCCAGTTGCCAAACCATCACATGTAGAGTTGAAAAAAGTCCGGAAGACACACACCATGCTGAACAGAGGCTCCCAGGGCACCAGAGTAGGGGCAGGTGAAGGGACAGCTTTTATTCTTCACCTCGTTGAGTCTGCCTGTTTGACATTTTATACAGGCATGTATTAACTTGTAATACTTAACTTTTTTTTTCCTCCCTTAAATGTTGGGACACAAAAAGTCTCTGGGTAGAAAAGGAATGGCCTACAAAAGGACTTTTTGAACAAGACAGACATTAGGCAAAGGCCTGGCCAGGTAAAGGGATCTCAAACCCAGAATACTCCAGCAGCATCCCAGGGGGCACACTCACCTGAGAAAGTGTTGTCGGCAAAACGTAACAGTAAACTGCTCTTGCCCACACCTGCAGGAGAGAAAGCAGGAGATGAGAGGGGGCATGGTTCCCTCCCTTTAACCCAGTCCTTCAGGGAGATGGCACCCAAATGCTAACTCTTAAGAAGTTCAGCAGACCCATCTCCCACCTCAATGCTGCTTTTTATCTCCCTGACCAGCCGGCCACACACCAAGAACATCTCTCCCACTCAATGTCTGACCTTTTCCTCTGTCCTGGTGTGAGATAAGCTGCCCCAAGTCCCGTGGGGAGAGAGAAAGGGGCTTGTGCCCAGGCCCTGTGCTGATGAGACCCAGAGGAAGATACCAGACGAGAGAAATAAAGCAGGGGGAAAGTCAGCCAAATGATATGGGCCCCAAAGTGTGTCTAAAACACACGGTCCCTAGAAAAGCATACACCGTGTGTGGAGCTTCAGTTTGTGCACAGCATGAGATGAGGAATTATGAACCCGGAAGGGACCCTTGAGATCATCAAGGCCATTTTACAGATGAGAAAACTGAGGCCCAGACAACATAAACCAACTGCCAACCATCCTCCCCCTGCTGATGTCACTGCCAGCTGGATCAGTGAGGAGGGGGTGTCTGCCTTATACCTGTCAGCCCAAGAGCTCACACATGCTCAGACCATTTCACTTAGCACGGCAGCCCCTTAACATACTTGTCCCAAGAACAAGCAGAACCCCATAAGCCTGGCTTCCCTTTACCTCAAAAGGAGCAGTTCTAGCCTGTGCACCTGCCCTGTCTCCCCCACCCCATCCCCTACCCCTGCCAAGCCTAAGGCCGACTGGGTGAACCAAGCCCAGAAGGAAAGAATCGGCACACACAGAGCTCTGTGTGTGATGGGCACTTGGACGTCCCTGTCATTCCAACTATGTCTCTGAAGAGGAGGCACCTGAGGCCGCGGGAAGCTAAGCAGTGGGCCTTCGGGGCCTCCGCAGGGAAGCACGGGGCTGAGATGGGAATCGGGGGCTGTCTGCTCCAGGGCTCTAGCGCTCTCTCCAATACATACCGCGAGGGCAGTCTTCCTGCGTCTGGCTCAGAAAGTGGAACAAAAAGACCCCAAAGGGGCTCCTGCATCTGACTCCTGTTAGATTTGCAGCAGCAGTGCTGCCACTGCAGACGGGAGGAGATTTCCACCAGGGTCTCAAGTGTCCCCAAGCTAAGTGCAAATTGGTGGGGAGGAGCCCACAAGCAGCCATCAGAGCCTGAGAGGGCGCTGCCTCCGCCCCCCTCCTGTGCAGTTTCTCGAAACCTAACCAACCCCAGACAACCTCTCTGGCCAGTCCTCTCTGATGCTCTCTTCTGGGGACTTCTCCGATGAATGAGTGGTCCGGAGATACCCAGAACTTGTTTCATGGAGTGAACCTGGAGCTTCCCTTCCCAAGGACAGGGGCGCGGCTCTGAGCAGACGGGTGCTGCACCCACGGTACCTGCTGCTCAGCCCCCGGTGCCCGCAGTGCTCCTGCTCAGAGCCACTTCCTCATCGCCGCTTCTGCGAGGCTTCCTGCTGAGCCCAAGGAGAGCCCAAGCCCTGGGCTGGGTCCCCACAGCGCTCTGCCTGGCGCCGACACTCCATCAGGCCTGCCGGCTCCTTGGCTTCCTCCTGGAGCCTTCTGGGCCCGCTTACTCAGCTAAAAGCTGTGTCTGGGCCACTAGCTGTGAGTTCCTCTAGGAAGGAGATCTTGCCTCCCTTGCCCTGGATATTTACAGCGCTGGAAGCTGGGCCCAGCACTTAGTCGACACCAACAAAGCATGGCTTAATGAATTTAGGGCCAAGCAAATGCCAATAGCACTGACAGCTATACCATCGGATGCTCTGACTGCAGCATTCACAGAAGCCAAAGCAATGGTTTTCAGACTTTCAGGGGGCAGCAGAATCCTTCTTTAAAATTAAATTTTATCTGGATCCCATATATCTAAAACAGGTGGGGGGGGCTGGGGGGCTCAGTCAGTGAAGCATCTGACTCTTGGTTCCAGCTCGGGTGAGATCGTGACCCCTCGTCGGGCTCTGCGCTGGGCATGCAGCCTGCTTAGGATTCTCTCTCCCTCTCTGCCTCTGCCCCTCCCTCCCCACCGATTGCTCTCTCTCTCTCTCTAAAAAAAATTAAAAATAAAAAATACAAGAGGTAAGGGGGAGTTGCTCTCTGCAAGAAGCAAGGAAGCAGCAGTGTGCCCTCCAACCTGGCCTCTCCCAGTCCCCTGCACTCACCCCAGTGCTCTGCAGAGCTGCTGAAAACCACCAGGCTGCAGAACGACCACTACGGTCACCACGTAACTGCTGCTCTGGGCCTGACACCAAGCTCCGGCACTGCTCTTCCCTTTGAAAGGAAGAGAAACCCGCCCTGAGAAACGACCTCTCCTAAATATCCCTGGAAGAGGCCTCCTCGGGAAAACGCGCTGCTTCCATTCATCCCACAGCACTGGCCTAAGGGAGGAAGTGATAAGTACCAATCTACCTTTGCCACAGCAGAAGTCAAGAGCTTCCCAAGGGCCGCACCCGGCACGAAACCCAACCGGTCCTGCCCCAACCTCCTACCCTGCGAAGACCACAGGCAGCCAGGAGACCGATTTATTCGGCAAACACCGCACGTGCCCCTCAGCCCTCACCGCTCTCCCCTGCTCCCTGCCTCTCGGCCTACACAGATGCTCTGGTCCTCAAAAAGCCCCCACAGAAGTCCCCACCCTCAGCCCTGCTCCTCCCTTGGGCTATACTTAGTTCCCTCACTCATCTGGTCATCAGTTCTGGACTGTTGAAGACCCTTAGACCTTCGAGTAAAGCGTTCGCGATTTTAATCCTGGCTCAGTCACCCACTCACTGTACAACCTCAGGCAAGTCACTTCCTCTCTCTGAGCCTCAGCTCACTCATCTGTAAAGTAAAAGGCTTTAACTAGTTCTCTGATGGCCACTCCAGCCTCCAGGTTCTAAGAATGAGGATGGCTGGCCCCACAGTTCAGATGAAATGCTGTGACACTTCTGAGCCGATCAGAAGAACCTAAAAGAAAGTGTAGAACTTGAGCCATAAAGAAGAGCTGCAAAGCTGAGGGAATGTATCCCAGAAGCGTGTACGATGTGGCAGAATGGGAAGAACTCTAGATTTATAAAGAAAGAAACGAACATTCATTGAGGGCCCAACAGGCCTGACATCAGCTGCTCACGCATAGCACCGACGAGCATTAACTCCTGGCTTTGCCTATGATGAGCTGTGTGACTTTGGGCAAGTCAGGCAGTGCCACTGAGCCTTAGTTTCCTTATGTGACAAATCACACAGGCAGCAGGTGAGAACCAGATGAAAGCGTCTGTGAAATCATTTGAAAAACCTTAAGAAAGCCTCCCCATAAGGTGCCGGTCCCGGGCGGTGCCTGACATTCTCCACCCTCAGTTGCCACGCTCAGTCTGAACTTCCATCTCCCAGGCTCAGAAGGGTCCAGCTTTGACTCCTGTACCTGATGTAGTTCGACAAGCTCAGACTGAATTAGGAGCCAGCCACATAACTTAGCGAGTCTTCTCCCACACCTGACTTCTGGGTGAAAAATCAGTACACCAAGCGAAAGGTACTGTGAGAAAGGGGGCCAGAACCATCCCCTGGGTTTTAGAGAGAAAAGCCAACAAGCTGCATCTTCTTGCAGAATTTATGCTTTTCATTTTTGGATATCAATACACAAGCCCTAGAGGGGTAAGGACCCCTGACGGTGGTGGGCTTACTTTAACTCCAAAAGGAGAGAAATTACTCTGGCGTCAGCCCCTGGGAACGAAGGCTGGGGCTGAAATCAAATCCTGTAAAGGCGAAAGCCTCGGGACCCTAGGGAATAACCAGAGTCCATCTCCAAGGGTGAGTCTACACAGCTCATCTGGTTTTCTTTCATTCAAACCACAACGAATCCATCCTCCACCCATCTAACTCCTTCCTTGACCACAGCTACTCTGCATCTCCCTTGTTGGCCCTTTAACTTTTCCCCTTACCTCTCCCTTCCACCAGTAACCACAGAAACCTCAGCCATCCTTCACCGGATCCAAACCACCAACCACATCCCAATCTAACTTCACAGTGAGATCAAAACCCACTCACTTCCATGGCCAGCTATAGCCCAGTGTCACCCAACACTCCTCCATCAATGTCTACAACCCCTTTGATTTGCTCCCCTTTCTTAACCCCCTTTCCATGGGCTCTACCACCAACCTGGCCTCTGCCTTCAGTCATATGACTGCCTTGCCCACACTCAACTCAGGTCTGGTCTATAAACCTGGCATGCTCCCAAGCCTCCTTCCCCATCATATAATCCTAGCACCTCACCTATGCTCCCATAAACTTCCCAGGGCCTGCCTCCCTGACCTCGTGGTCACCCCATAAACCTGCTTACCTGCCACACTACAAACACCTCTAAAACCCTCCACCCTTTCCCAGAAACCAACCTGTCTTTTCTAGGAACTTAACATTGATTCATTCATTCAACAAATGTGTTTTAGGCACCTACTGGTTGCAAGGCACTGCACCAGGCCCTGGAGAAGATGCAGTGCACGGAGCTAGGAGCTCTCCAAGAGTGTATACGCGGTCAGAGCCCTTTTGCAATATTGGCTGACCCAACTCCAGTACCCATCTAGTATACAGTATGTAGCAGCAAACACGTACTGAGCACACTCTCCATGCAACACTACGTGTGCATTATCTCACTGAATACTCACTCAGCCCTGCGAGGCAGATTCTACTATCAGCACCATTTTACAGATGGGGAAACGGAACCATACAGATAATAATTCAGCAGGAATGTGCCAGGCCCTGTGCGAGATAATCCCATGAGACAGGTTCTGGGATTATCCCCAGTTTACAGAGGAAGAAATTGAGGCTTACAAAGGGCACGAACAATCACATCAATAGCATCTACCCAGGGCTGACTTTACGCCAGGCTGGGCGCTAAGCACTTTCCCAGCTTTATCTCATCCAATAGTCAACCACCCAGCGAGGCAAGTCCCCACTTCACAGATGAGGGAACTGAGGCTCACAAAGGCGAAACAACTCGCCCAAGGTCACAGAGTGAGGAAGCTGGTAGTCCCAGAACTCGAACCCGGGTCTCTCCAACTCCATGCATCGCGCGACTTGACCAAGGTCACACGTGAGGCATGGGCAGGCGCGGCGAGAGAACCGGGCGCCCCAGCCCCGACCCCCGTGCGCCCCGCGCGCCCAGCCCCTCCACTCCGAAGCCGGGTGCCCCAACCTCACCTCGAGGCCGCCCGCAGCCCCTCGGCGCGTCCCTAGGGCCGGCGGCCGCCGGGCAGCCCCGCCCCGCGCGGGCCGGCACCTCCCCGCCCGCCTGCCCGCCCCGAGGCCCCCGCGGGCCGCGCCCGGCAGGGCCCACGCCGCCTCCGGCCGCCGCGGCCCTCACCGCTGTCGCCGATGATGAGCAGCTTGAAGAGGTGGTCGTAGTCCCGGGCCATGGCGGGCGGGGGAGGCGCGCGCGGGCGGGCGGGGTCGGTGCTGGCCTCGCGATCCGCAGCTCCCTCTGGGCTGCTTCGGCAGCGGCGGATCCACTTCCCGAACAAACAGCCGGAACTGACAGAAACACCTCCCTCCTCTCCCCCTCCTCCTCCTCCTCCTCCTCTTCAGCAGCCGCCGCCGCCGCCGCCGCCGCCACCGCCTCCCTCCTTCCCGCCCCGCCCCGCCAGTGCGCAGGCGCAGCGTTTGACACCGCCTTTGCGCAGCCGCAGCCGCGGCCAGCCGCGCCCTCTCCGCGCTCGCGCACCGCGCAGGCGCCCTGGCGGAGGCCCGCGGGCGCGGGCTTGCCTTACCTGCGTCTCGTTGGCGAACGTTGCCGCGGTCCCGCGCGGCCCTGGGGGCTCGGAGAACCGGGGGGCTGTGGAGCCTTGAAGGACGCTGAGAGCGCCGGAGAAGCTCGGCCGTGGCCCGGGACGGATTGGCTCCTTCGTCTTCGAGAGCCGCAGGCGCTGCGGAGACGGAAAGAGCGGCATGCAGTGACCTTGGAGGCGGGGCTTACGCCGAGCTCCCGGTTTCTCGAGACCAGGGACCCGGACACTCCGCCCCCTTCCGCACGGACGCCGCCTCCGGGGTGCTGGTACCGGGCCTGCGGACTGGACGCCCAGGCGGTCGCTGGCTTCCCAGTTTTGAGGGACACGAGTTGCCTGCGGAGCGGAGCGTGAGAGGAGTGTGGCCTTTGAATCACCACTAGCCCCGTGACCCCATGGAGCCTGGGTTGCCTCCTTGGTAAAATGGGGAGGGCAGTTCCAGAGTCAGAGTCCCGTCCACCTTGACGCCGAGCGGGTGTGAGCGGCACCCGGAGCCCGAAGCAGCAGCTCCTTCGGCTTCGATTTTACACCGCCTACAGTCACATCTCAAAAGCGTGTGGTTAGGAAGACCTGGGCCGCCAGGAAGTAAGCGGGATTGGGTTTATCATCAGCTCCAGTTTTTTCCCTGTTTTAGAGTAAGTTCCCACCTGCCCTAAAAGTGAGATGCTCCTACTGCCATTCTGAGAATTGCGGAGAATTCGAAGTTCCTTATAGCCCTGCCCCTTCCCAGTCAAGTACCTGTTGAATATTTCTACTCTTTTTACCATTTTTAGACTTTATAAAAAGTAATACTCATGGTTTAAAAAACTGTACAGAAGTTTACGCCAAAGTACAAGTTGCTGTTTTTCCTTAAGACCCACTCCTCCCAGGTAACCTTCGTTAATAAGTTCCTTGGACACCTTAAGATGCCTAAGAAATATTTGTTGAATGAATTAATGTCCTTCAATGAATTTCTGTGCCTATGCAAACACATACGTGTGTGAATGTTGCCTTTTCTCTTTACCAACATGCTTGGGCATTCTGTCATTTAACAGCTGCGTGGTATGGGACGCTGTCATAGGGTTGGTTATACTGTAATTTAACCACTCTGCTATTGATAAGCATTCATATTGTTTATAATTTGTTATAAACAAGGTCGCAGGGAAGATCCTTGAACAGCTCATGGAGTGTCCAGCTCAAGTTTTTAGTTGTTTTTCCAGGAGCTAAGAATCAGGTGTGGTAATGTCAGAAGAACATGGACTTGGAATCTGCCTGGGAGAGGAGCTGCTCATATGACCATTTAAAAAAAAAAAAATTAATTTAGAGAGAGCACACAAGCAGGGGGAGGGGCAGAGGGAGAGAGAGAGGATCCCAGGCCGACTCCATACTGAGTGTGGAACCCATCACCTGGCTCAGTCCCAGGACCCCGAGATCATGACCTGAGCCAAAATCAAGAGTTGGCCACTCAACCGACTGAGCCACCCAGGCACTCCTCATATGACCATTTAAAAGTGTTCCTTCTTGGGGCACCTGGGTGGCTCAGTTGATTAAGAGGCCGACTCTTGATTTTGGCTCGGGTTAGGAGCCATGTGAGTTGGAGCCCTGAGTCAGGCTCTGTGCTGGATGTGGTCTGCTTAAGATTCTCTCCCTTGGGCGCCTGGGTGGCTCAGTCGTTAAGCGTATGCCTTCGGCTCAGGTCATGATCCCGGGATCCTGGGATCGGGTCCTGCATCAGGCTCCCTGCTCCGCGGGAAGCCTGCTTCTCCCTCTCCCTCTCCCCCTGCTTGTGTTCCTGCTCTCGCTATCTCTCTGTCAAATAAATAAATAAAATATTAAAAAAAAAAAGATTCTCTCCCTTTCCCTCTGCCCCTCCCTTGCCCTCCTCCCCATCTTGCTCTCTAAAAAAAAAAAAAAAAAAAAAAGTGGTCCTTGATCTAGGAAAGGTTAGCGGGATCCCCTTTGATTCAGCCGTTTTAGGAAATAGAAGGGAAGAAGTAGCCACCAGGTATGCACACTTGACACTGACCAGCCAGTGAGGCAGGAGGCCACTCCTGCTCATCTTCTCAACCTATTCTGGAGTCAGAGACTTTGGTTCAAATGCCACACCCAACATGGGACTTAACTCACGACCCTGCGATCAAGAGTCACGTGCTCTACCGACTGAGCCAGCCAGGCACTCCAAATGCTAGCTCTGAAATCCCGGCTCTATCCCTTAAGAGTTTTGATATTTACGATGTCACATCACATCTCAGAGCCCATTTCCTCACAGAATAGTTGTGAGGATGAGAGAGGTTTGTGAATTATCTGGCATATACAGGCACGTGATAAACAGCAACACGATGTTAGCCACGATCATTTTGCACTGACTCATACTTTAAGCCGTTTCCTATTGTAGACACCTGTTGCACACGTTTCCAAGGCAGTCTCCTGATAATCAGGCTGCAGGATACTTTTACTCAAAAGTAGAGCAGAGGGGCGCCTGGGTGGCACTGTGGTTAAGCATCCGACTCTGCTTTTGGCTCAGGATGATCACAGGGTCGTGAGATGGAGCCCTACATCGGACTCTGCTCAGCTCAGAGCCTGCTTAAGTTTCTCTCTCCATCTCTCCCCCTCCCTCGCCTTGCACACACTCACTTGCGATCTCCCTAAGTATTTTTTTAAAATATTTTATTATTTGTCAGAAAGAGAGCACAAGCAGGGGGGGAATGACAAGCAGAGGGAGAAACAGGCTCCCGCTGAGCAAGGAGCCCAGTGCAGGACTCGATCCCAGGACCCTGGGGTCATGACCTGAGCCAAAGGCAGACGCCTAACCAACTGAGCCACCCAGGCATCCCTAGATAAATGAATCTTTAAAAAGGGGGGGGGCACCTGGGTGGCTGAGTCGTTAAGCGTCTGCCTTTGGCTTGGGTCATGATCCTGGGGTCCTGGGATGGAGCCCCATATCAGGCTCCCTGCTTGGCGGGAAGCCTGCTTCTCCCTCTCCCACTCCCCCTGCTTGTGTTCCCTCTCTCGCTGTGTCTCTGTCAAATAAATAAAAAATCTTAAAAAAAAAAAAAAAAGTAGAGCAGAATTGGCCATTGTGAAGACCAGATTTCTGACTTGCCTGCCCGTGTCTGCTGGAAAACAATAGGCATTAATCATTTATTAACTATTTAATGGGTGCTTACCATTTATTATATGACAGGTTGTAGACTAGAGCCTTTTCCCTCCAGGAGCTGATAGTCTTTTCAGAGGTAAGACATAAGGAATTAAAAATACAAGACAATGCAGTAGATAAAGCAGCTGTCAAATAAGCAGTCTAGACTTAAGAGGGAGACAGCTATCACTTTTAGCTCAAATGATGGGGAAGATTTCATCATAAAGATTTCATGATGGAATTGGAACTTAAGAGCCTTGAATGACAGGTGTATTTAGACAGCTGCTGTCACAGTCTGAGAATCATCAATTTTGGTTTGGAGGGGAAATTCCCTATAGGCCAGGATATGTGCCTGGTGTCCCCCAAATGAAATGGAGCATATTTCCTCTAGAAACATTGGTGGGGTTTTTTTTTATTTAATTTTTTTTGGGGGGGGTAGAAGGAGAGAGAATCTCAAGCAGGCTCCAAGCCCTGTGTGGAGCCCAGCATGGGACTCCGTCTCACACCCCGGAGATCACAACCTGAGCTGAAATCAAGAGTCGGACACTAAACTAAACTAACTGCACCACCCAGGTGCCCCCTAGAAATATTGCTTTACATTTATTTAAACTACAATTCAGTGGTGGGCTATGTTCTGGTAGGTGGGAAGATAGGTAGGTGGATAGAGGTAGGGAGAAAGAGAGTGGGAGAAACTATAAATGTACAAAATTATAAAGTGCGGGGACCTAAGGTAGGCATCTGAATGCGCCACCGATGGGAAACCCGGTCCCGCTCTTCTGAACAGCCAGTTTCCAGAGGAGATTTTGCGGTGCCACCTGTTTGCACAGTAGAAACTATAACAGGGAGGCAATAAAAGTTTCTGAGCAGAGGAGCAATATCAATCTATTATTTTAAGAAAGTAGTCTGGTGCAAGCATGCAGAGTGGATTTCTGCTGCTGAGCTTTCAAGGAGGTTACTGCCGAAGCCCAGGTGTGAGGGTAACAGCAGGAAGGGACAGATGCAAAGGACAATATGCAAACCACATCAACTAGAGAAAGCAGCGTAGCAAAAAACAATCACAGAACTTACCTGGCAACTGGATTCATTTGCTAATTCAAAAAATACGTGAACGCCTACTAGATGCCAGGCACCAAAGACCTAATGTGAGCCAAACAAAGCCCATCCTCATGGAGCTTACGGTACAATAAGGAAAGACAAGTCATTCCTTCACGTTTGAGGGCTTCCCGTGTACCAGGCACTGACCTAGGGGAAGCATTAGCACTAAATAAAATTTTTAAATCTCTGCTTTCATGGAGCTGACATTCTGGCAGAGAATACGAATATTAGGGTGCCTGGGTGGCTCAGTCAGTTAAGCATCCAACTCTTGATCTTGGCTCAGGTCTTAATCTCAGGGTCGTGAGTTCATGCTCCAAGTTGGGCTCCACACTGCGCATGGATCCTACTTAAAAAATATGTGTCTGAAGAGAAAGGAAGAGTGGGGACAGCAGCATGCAGAGGTTCATCAGAACAGACAGTGACGCCATGGAGCGGGAGGGTGTGCTCCTTGTTCAAGAAGTTGGGCGGTGAATGCAAAGTGAAACAGAATGATGGTGATGAGAACAGTGGGGCCAAGTGAAGTAT